TTTTCGTCTAATCCTTAATGTTTGTTTAATCATCTAAGGGTTTTTCTCAAACCTTAAGGCACAAAACTGTTTTACAGAAAGAGACTGACTTGATCTCAAAATTTAAAACTGAATTCCAAAATACACTTAAAGATGTTTTCATAACTGAAAAAAATCAAAGATATCACAATCAACCATTACTTGCCTTAAATGATTTTAATGTCCTTGTCTTAACTAATCTGAATGGTCAGCAATTATTCACCATAATTTTATTATATTGTACAATAAATATTCCTGAAAATTAACATTTCAACATATGTCCATTAGATTATAGCACCCTTAAAAAACTAAACAACAAAAAGAAAAATGTTTAATTACATAGCACCAATTTATCAGTAATTAAAGAGTTCAAAAACATTTAATTGCTTCTCTTTTATGGATCTGAGACCATAATATCACACTCTCCTATAAAAATGTGTTTTTCCACATGTTAAAAATTAATAAACATGCAGACAAAAAGATCTGGTGCCTAAATCTATTGTTCCTTTACCGTTACCCCCTCTCTTACAGAGCTTCTGCTCTGGAAGCCAGGATTAATTAAATGATTATTTGAAAGGCCTCAGAGGTCTATTAATCTAAGTGCTTCCATTCATTCATCTAGCTTCTCCTGCCACAATGTTGCTGTAGAGCTCGAGATGAGATGTTTTACTACTGAAAGGACAACTTGATTAAGTCCCCCCTTTTTGAGCGCCTTGGTTGGTGTCCGGCTTTCCTTGTAGGGAAATCTTGTTTAAGTTGGAACAGAACAGAAGAGCAGAAGCACGGTACAATAGATTTCATTACGGCCAGAGAGGGATGAAGAAAAGGGTTTTATAGCAAGCAAGATTTAGTCAAAACCAGCGCCGTAATTAAAGGTATAGTGGAGGATTTTCATGAATTTCTGGATGGACCAGCCCTCTCCACTATAAAAAAAAAACCAAAACACATGCACAACCTTGTATCTGCTCCTGAGAGGGAACGCCTATTAATGTAAAGAGAGCGTGCATGAGCCCATTTCTCCTCTGTTTAAAAGTTGCTGTTTGCATCAGTCATACAAGCTTTTCCATCATTTTTTTCCACCATATCAGACTCACCATCTTAAACTGAATATGGGGACGAGTATGTATGACAGACTTAGGTAAACAAATAACCAGAATTATTGACAATTAAGAGGACCACTTATTTTGACGATCCACCCAGAAAAAGAAAATACTCCACTATACCTTTAAGCCATACCATACCAACTTTATTTATGAAGCACTTTATGCACCGGACAGGACCAAAGTGCTGTACACAATCATAAAATCCAATAAAATTATAAAATAGAAAAAAAAAACGAGTGTAAAATACATATTAGTATACAAAAAGAATAAAACAAAGTAAAACCTCTCAAATTGTGCCAAAAGCCAAGGAAAAAAGATAAGTCTTAAGAAGGGACTTAAAAACAGCAAGGGAAAACGTCTGTCTTATGCTCAGAGGCAGATCATTCCACAGCTTAGGAGCTGCCACAGAAAAAGCACGGTCTCCTCTGAGCTTGCATTTTGTCTTTGGGACCCTCAGAAGCAACTGATCAGCTGACCTAAGGGAACGGGAGGGTGTGTAAGAATGCAACAGCTCAGACAGATAAGAAGGAGCAAGGCCATTAAGAGTTTTAAAAACAAATAAAAGAATTTTTAAATCAATCCTAAAATGTACTGGCAGCCAGTGTAAGGAAGCTAAAACAGGGGAAATGTGGTCGAATTTCCGTGTACCTGTTAAAAGACGTGCAGCAGCATTTTGAACCCTCTGAAGTTGAGAAATATACAAATCACTGACCCCTGTATAAAGTGAGTTACAGTAATCCAGCCGTGTGGTCACAAAAGCATGGATCACTGTTTCAAAATGTTGTTTAGATAGAATGGGTTTTACTTTGGCTAGCTGCCTTAAGTGGAAAAAGCTGGACTTTATAACGGCTCTGATGTGCGCTTCCGTTTTAAGACCAGCATCCATCTTAACCCCTAAATTAGTAATAACCGGCTTAACGTACTGAGCCCAGGAGCCAAGACGGAATCAGCAGTGGATTTGCCAAAGATCATTACCTCCGTCTTGTCTTCATTGAGTTTTAAAAAATGTAGGGCCACCCAGGCCTTCACATCTTCAAGACATAAAAACAGAGACCGAAGAGAGATGGAATTTAGTTGGTATAACTTTAAGCGAAAAAACGGGGCTTGTTTAAACACATTTATTTGAGCCTAACGCTTGCTTTAGCTTCTCGGCTATTTCCATCTAATCCAATTGGTTTTTAAAATTAAGGAAAAACATATGATACCAAATAGATGCTTTAATTTCAATTTAAAAAGCTATATTTACTGCTGGTGTGTAACATTATTATACTAACATGGATGTTATTTTAACGTTTGTTATTTTAATTTTTTTATACACATATTTGAGCAAAAATACAGGACAAATACTACCTTTAATAGTTTTCAATACTATTACATTTTTATTGTTCCATTTCCAATTGGCTCCATGTCCTCCACTATACCTTTAAGGTGCGACAATAGCTGAATGAGTAGCTATATTAACAAAGAAGCCAGCATGTTGTAACATAGATTCTACAATCTATCCCAAAATATAAATCAGGTAATAGTTTTAAAGTATGTATTATTTTACGTCAATGATGCACAAATAACAGGCGGACAACAGTTGGTGCAGAAAGAGGGACCTGCAAATACTCTTTCCTTCCTCCAAACTAGAACCCAGTAAAAAACACAATGACAGTCTTGATGTTTAATTATCTCCACATGTCAAAGGAGGGATTTTGTGTTTTAAAAGATAATTACCAGATTCCCACCCTACTGAAAGTGTAGATACCAGGTGACATTGGTTAATTCCATAGAAAGTAAACAGTTGAATCATAGTTTAATGTGTAGTTAGTGGTTGCTCCATTTAAAGGAGTGGGACCCTAACGTTTCCCCTATTGTTTTCCTGCTTCACTGATCCAGTACAGCCAATCCCACTAACATGCTTAACCTTCAAAGCTGACACAGACTCGCGTGTCAAAAGTGAGTGAACAAATCCCTTAGATGAAGCCTAACTGCGCCACATTGGTCGTTGGTGTCAGAAGTAAACTCGGCATAACATGCGACCACCAGGACCGACTTTGATGCTCGGCAGCTTTGCTCTGCAGACCAGACACACATGGCACAGGCTTAACTCCGGTCACACTAATCTTTTGTTTTCGTTTTGATCTCATCCCACCATTACTACATTACAAAAGGGAAACAATATATAATATGCAGTATGCTAGCTAATTATCTGCCCCTCTGTATGCAAAAAATCCTAATATGAGTTTTTCTTCTTAGGCTTCATCATGTGGGGAATATTTAGTCATTTCATGACCAGACTATTTATTGGATCCCCATTAGGTTCTGTTTATGAGGCATTTTATTTGCCCCCACAGCAAACCACAGCATGAATCATATCCTGCCAACGCCGGATCAGTAAAACTGTAAGGTAACCTCAGCTGAAGAGTTATTGGGATGGAAACAAAGGATCCTGGTGGAGTCTGGCTGTAACACATGCTGAGCATGTCTGTCGTTACGTGGGATAGTTTCCCTGCTAGAAGATCAAACTCTGCACAAGTATTGGATGCTTTTGCTCTTTCTAAAAGGTTTTCTTCCAGAACTGCCCTTAATTTAGCCATATATATCCAAGATCCTTCCCTATCCCATTCTTAGTACGGCGTCCCACAGCATGCCGTTAACGCCGCCATACATTATGATGGGTATGATGAGTTAGGTTTGTTTAACTGATAAGAACAGATTATAAAGTTAATATTCTGGGGGATGACCATGTCTTAGCAGCACCATTTATATTAGTTTATGTTAATTATCTGGTTAGACTGCACAGACAAGACTTAAATGATTAAGCAGTTGAAGTCTGAAGGTTTTTTTTTTCATCTTTATGTGAATAAATACACATGCATTTGACCTTTTAGGAGTTGAATTAGTAGAATGCAGTTCAACATGTATCATTTAGCCAGAAATTTTATATAAGGCCAAAAGCGGACAGGTGCTAGAACCTCAGGGTCAATCTACACTGTTCCAACAGGAAAATTAATGAGCAAAACATCCATATTTTCTAAATAAAGACTAACTATACTTTCCTACAGCCTTTGCTAACAAATATATGCATATATTTAAACATCTGTAATTTCTAGATAAAAAAGGTATAGTGGATAAAACTCAGTTTTGAGATCTGGAGCATAAATCAGTCATCGTCGTCATGAATTACCTACTTTATCAATAAACATTCTACATAAAATTGATATTTACAAGCACTAATATCTACATAAATTAATTATTTGATACATTTTTTTATTGTTATTTATCTTTGATTTAACTGAAGACTCCTAGATGACTTGCAGAGACACATAATTCTCTCTTTACCCCATATAACACAAAATCTAGCTCTGAAAAGAGCAGGAAGTCTGTATTTATCATCTCTGATGTTTATTGATGTGTATAATTATCTATCTAGCTCCGCCCCTGCATTTAGCCTCATCTTCACAATAAAGCTCTGTTTTGTGTTGTTCTATCAAATAAAATAACTTGCTGAAACCTCTGGTTGTAAATAGATAGAGAAAAGTGTGACATTTTCCAGGGTAAGTGTGTTTTTGGTTGGTTTAAATCAAAGTTAACCTTAAACAGAGTCATGAATTTTCATACATTTGCCAAAAAACAAAAAACAAAGCTGAAGCGAAAATTGCCACAAATTAAAAAAAAAAAAAATCACAGCTTGCGTTTTTCATAAGGATTTGACTCTTAATTAACAGAATTCTTTAACACTTTAACTGCAATGTTTAGAATGTCAGCAGCGCGCGCTCCAAATAAACGCGCGTTAATAACCGCAGATTGCGCAAAACTTAGCGGAAAAAAATCACCTCAGCGTTTTTAACGGTTCAGGACAGCAACAGGAAAAGATTTAAGGATGAAACCTACCAAATCCAGTTCCTTTAAGGACCAACAGGAGACTCATCTGGGAGGAGATGAAGGAGGGAAAATGCTGCTCCGTGTGGATGTTGGAGACTTTAGGGAAGGAAAGGCGCTGCGTCACAGACGCGTCAAACATTATTAACTCCCCTCTGCAAGAAAGAAGCGATGCTTTGTATTTTTTTGATATATATTTAATTAATTAGAGGAAAATATGGGTTTGCAATGATTTTTATCTGCTTTTAACTGCGCATGTTAAATGTATGCATAATGACAGTCACCTATAGGGCTTCACTCATTTACTATTTATGTCAACTTTATGAAGAAAAAATACAACATAATGAATTTTTTCCCCTCTAAATGGCTAAGAACATGAAAATGTTATAAGAAATTAAACAAAATGCTTATTTTTTTCCCCAACAATATTTCATTTATTAAAAATAACTCATGAATATCTATAAATATGATTAAAAAATGAGAATGTATAAAGTATGACACAAAGTATTTTGATATATTTTATGTTTGACAGTCACTAAATGACAGTTAGTATACCAATTTAATAAATAATACCAAAAAAAATAAAGATTTAGAATTAGAGAAATTCTGTCATTTTTGTATTAAAAACTAAATTTCTCAAAAGTGAAATCAACATTACCATTTATAAAGTGCAGCAATGATCAAGAATGTAGACATTTTAGGAGAAAAAGTCATGGTGCATTGATATGGAAAGGTGCAAAATAAATATGGAGCAAAATGCAGTAGAACATTGACTGGCGTTCTATTTAAAGGGATTATGAGAAAAATATTGATAACTCTTTATGTTATTTAAGTATCCTGTCAAAAGCTGCAAAAATTCAGCTATTTTTTTCTGTTTTGATGTCCCAAGTTTAAGACAAAGTATTATGTTACTTGTTTACTTTGTTTTTGATTGATTAATATCTCTTTTAACTTCTGAAACCATAATTTTAGACTTAAACTTAGACAGATTTTATTTTGTCATTTTGTACACACTAGTGGATACAAAAAAATCCATTAAGTAAAGCTCTATAGACTTTTTCATTTTTTTAAAGTGCAGCATTGATAAAGGTAAGCAGCAGTGATCAAAACAATAATTAAAAAAAAACTATGATTTAATGGAAAGTAAAATAACATTTTCCTCAGATTTGCTCTATCCCTCCTAAACAAACATTCTTTTGTTTTTTGGGGGGTTTTTTTTTACATCAGAAAGGTCTGGGATCTGGAAACGCATAAAAAAAATGTTTCAGACAAATGTAGCTCTGTTTCATACAGACATGCATTATCTGTTAAAGCAAATTAGAAGAAGACCCACCCTGAGCTAGTTTTTGATTCACATTCCTGGGGTGAAAGACTTGCAGCCAAGCCGTCATGTCCAGCTCCCATCAGATAAATGCGAAGGAGTGCATGTCTGAAAGGGGCCATACAAGAACTCATCAGTGACAGGCTGCAGCCCTCTGACCCTACTGGATATGTGATCCTTTGCTGGAAAGGTAAAGAAGAAGCTCCTCAGAGTCGTGTCAGGCAGAGGAATTTCCGAGGCCTGACCACACAGATATACAAATAGATGGTCTGTCCTGGGTGGAAGCACGTTTCGTTTATCCTGCAGACATGATATATGAGCATTACAAAGTGTAAATATAAAATCCTATTGATTCAGCTACATAATTCTGTGCAAGCTAAGAAGACACAAAAAAACCCTATCTTGTGAAAAATAGCTTTAAACCTGTGTAATTTGATTAATATAAGGAGAAATGTATTTGTTTTTTTATTTTAATTCACTACAACATACCGCTCTAAGTAGCACAGTTAGCTTTAATTACAGTATATGCAGAAGAAAAGAAACCCCACAGCATGATTTTGCCATCACCAAAATTTGATCCTATAATTTGAGCGCATTAATATATATAATTTGATCTGAACCATTCTATTTTAACTCTAGCTATAAATGGCTTGTTAAATGATTAGATACTTTCATGATACAGCTTCTTCACTAAATTCCTGGAATAGAAATATGAGGGCTTCACAGAACAGCCTTGTGTTTATACATACTTTTGACATAAATGTAAAAATAAGCTGATATCATGCAGGTCATTGATTGCAGTAGATTTTACTGGATTTAATTGGGATACAAATTTCCCAACGCATTGTTTGTGGGATATATAATCAATATGTTTTGATACTGAATGTAAAAATTGTGACACTGAAAATGAAATTATGAGTCTAAATGTTATACATGTCTATATCTGATGTGAATATTCATATTATAAAAGTCAAAACCTTTGGTTTGAATGTGGTAATTATGACTTTGACATTGAAATTATGACTCTTCAGGTCAAAATTCTGATTTTGATTTTCCCAACTAAGGTAATGGCTACATATCTTATCATTATAAGATACAGAATTAAATTTCAAATGACTTTTACAGTAAAATTAATAAAAAATAGAGTTAGTCTAAATGTTTTTTAAAGTCTATATCTCGTTATAACAATGAAATTAAAAGTTGGATCATAAATATTTGAAAGGGGGTATTTATTTTTACTTAAAAAGTCAAGAATAAATGTATTAGTTTTTTAGCCAATATCATAAAAGTCTTAAAATATACAAAAGTTAAGAAAATTCGACACTTGGCCTGTAGGGGGCAGCAGCATCCGTTTACCGCCTCCCAGCTACCGTAAATCCCCCCAAGAACAAAACAGAAGGTCGCCATCTTTGAAGGTAGCAGGAGACTTGTATCAGCGCAATATTTGAATCAAGTTTAGTTTAATTCACCGAGCACAAAAAGCTGCATGGCTAACAGAAATATGCAGCAAACGAGGATGCTGGGTGCAAACTCTCCACAGCCGGGAAGGCGAGGGACAGACTCCCCGGCTTCGTCAGAACAGACGTCGGGGAACAAAGACAGCCCAGCCCCGCCGCCGCAGCAGCAGCAGTCTCCCCCGGCTGAACAGAGCGAAGGAGCCGCGGAGGAAACGGGGGAAGGCCCGTCCAAAATGACTTTCAACATCGCGAGTTTTCTGAAGCCCGGAGAAAATACCTTCACCCAGCGCGCCCGCCTGTTTGTAGGCAGCCTGCCGCTGGATATCACAGAGGAGGAGTTTAAAAACCTGTTCGCTAAATACGGGAACGTTAGCGAGGTGTTCATCAACAGAGAGCGGGGATTCGGATTCGTTCGTTTGGTGTGTTCACATCTGTTCTTCTCTGCTCTAGTTTCTTAGTGCTCAATGAATATTAAGTTTATTTCACATTCAATGTATGAGGTCAATATTTGAAGTTTAATGGTGTGCTGGAGCAAATACATGATTTTAAAGGCAGCATACTTTAATTGAACAGGTTGAAACCTTAATTCAATTTAGTTTATTTCTATAGCGCCAATTCACAACACATGTCATCTTAAGGTACTTTACAGTTCCCCAGATCATTCATTCAAATTGATTTAAAGTTTTCTATATAAGAAAAACCAGTTGATTACATCGACTCATTGACTGGAAGGCAATCCCTCACCCTAGCATGCTTGTAGCGACAGTGGAGAGGAAAAACTCCCGCAGCAGTGTGTCACAGTGAGCTTGTCGCAGGTATGACGCAGACATTTTTGATTTATGCTCAATATTAAAGCGTGGTCTGCGCTATGTTTAGTCCACACCACAACGGAAAAGGGAAAATCACAAACTGTGGGTCTAGGTAAGGCTGAGGCGGTGAGGAACTGGGGGCAAGTTTGTCCGACAAGGGAGGGACTTAAGGGTGAAAAAGAGCGGGGATCCAGGTGGAAAAAGGGTCCCAGCGTTCTCGTGCACCTCGCTTTTCTTGCTGGTCCAACTTCACAAGTTGTTTTCCGCAATGGCAGTCATACGAACAAAAGAAGGCGGTAAGGTACCAAACAGGAAATGCGCATGAGTAGAGCGTATGTAGATTTAACCAATCAGAGGACTCCTGTCTCTGGCACTACAATTTGGGAGAGGTGAAGCAGAGTGTCTTGATGCTGACGACCTACTTTTGAAATATAAATTAGCCTTTAGAATTGTCGAGAGAAAATGATGCACTGGTTTTAGAAAACCTTGATATCTACTAAATGCCTTCAGAAGTCACCGACCCCATCCATCACAGGTCTCATTTTGAAGACCAATGAACCAAGCATGACGAGTCCAGGAGAAGGAAACTCACAAGAAAACCTGTAATAAGATTTCCACAAAGCATCAGGTGGACACAGATGACATGCAGAAACGCTCTGGTCAGATTAGACCAGGGGTTTTAAAAGTGAGTGCTGCGGCACCTAGGGGTACCGCGAGGTCACTACAGGGGTGCCGCAGGATTTTTTCATAGATTGATGAGTTTTTTAATGAATGTACATTTTTACATTTTAACAATTTTGTAAATTTATTTTGATGTAGGCAAATATATTCTAAGACGAGGGGCTACATTTTATGTTTCGTTAATACCGGTATGTTGAAAAAATGACAGAAAAATAATTATTATCAAATAATGTCAAATAATCATTATCAGTTTAGGGGTACCACCGCTGGGTGGAAAAATGTGTAGGGGTACCTTGAGCCAAAAAAGTTTGGGAACCACTGCATTAGACCAAAATGTCATTTTCTTGCTTGCATGCAAAAATTATTATGAATCTGACAGTCTCAATCACCCTAAAGCCGGGCATACATTGTGTGATTTTTTTTTTTTTACAATCATTGCACGCAGCTGCAGCTCACACTGTACGACGAAACCCGGCGGTTTCGTCATAAAGTGTGAGTTCACAGCTCACAGTGTATGTGCAACATGATGCTCTGATGCAATCTACCTGCTCACACTGTACGTCTAAAAGCCACGTCGGACTCAGCTCCGCAGTGAGATAGAGCTGCTCTGATTCGTCTAACTGGAAGCCAAACCAGTAGAAGAGGAATCTGAAGCTCACTACAGAGAAACGCACTGCCTTGGCAATTTTGTGCTGAAAGCCCTCAAAAGAAAAGGAGACAACGTATTTGGACAAATACAGGTCTGAGCAAATGTGGCTACTACGGTCTGTCAATTTTACAGACAGGACTCCATTTCACTCATTGCACCCCCACCATGCTTTTGCATTTACATCTGAGAGGAAGAAGAATCCTTGTTTGTGATTTGCCCACAACGATCAGGAGAAAATCAAACCTGGTTGATTTTCTCCTTACATCACAATTCCTGATCAGGAGGTGGTCGTGAGCGGCTGATCGCCCCTGGTTACCATCTGTACACTACACGACGCACAATCAGGCTAAAAGTCGGCCTGATCGGAAAATTCTCTCACGACTAGAAAGTCGCCCCGAAAGGAGTGAAAAAATCGCACAGTGTAAGCCCGGCTTAAAATGCATCTTTCTTGTGGGGAAGCATGGTGGTGGCCTAATCATGCTGCGAAGAACAAGGACTGGGAGGCAGGCAGGGATGATGGATTGAGTTAAATAGATAAAAATCTGTTGAGGTAGTTTAAAGTGTAGTTTTTGTACAAAACTAAAGGGATAAACGGGTATTGACTATGGGTAAGCTGGTGTAACACCGCCTCTCCCCCTAGAAGAACATGGAAGAACTGGAGGATTAAATCCTTCATGCTAGTTTTTGTTTTGTTTTGCAGGGAAGCCGAACACTGGCTGAGATTGCGAAGGTCGAGTTAGACGGAACGGTAATAAACAACAGATCGCTAAAGGTCCGCTTTGCAACACATGGAGCTGCCCTCACAGTCCGCAATCTGTTGCCAGTAGTGACTAATGAACTCCTGGAAGAGGTATGTTGGAGGTCAACCGGGGCTCTTAAAACATTGATTTCTGTGCAATAATTGAAAACCAATCTTGGTTTATCCACAGGCTTTCTCTCAGTTTGGGCCTGTGGAGCGGGCTCTTGTTGTGACAGACGACCGCGGCCGTTCCACTGGGAGAGGGATCGTTGAGTTTGTGAAAAAAGTGGATGCTCGTAAAGCCCTGGAGCGATGCAACGAGGGAGCAATGCTGCTCACTACGTAAACAAAGCTTTTTATTTATGCTTGCTTTTAACTATTAACCACTATCAACATATTTGCATAATAGTGCAACTTTTTAGCAACTTGAATTTTATGATTTTTTCTGCAGTAGACAATGGAAATCTCTTAGAAAATTTCTTTAAAGCAGTGGAATTAAAACACTGCAAACTCGGCAACTTTCTTTACGCACAAGCTATCTTGAATATCTATGGCCTAGGATCTTTGCCGAATCATTAAAGTCCACATAGAACATGCAGGACATTGTACCCCGTACCACACAGATCTTATGTTACTGGCTCAAATTAAACCTTTTTTATTAACATTGGTAATCATAATATTCCCCATCTATTTACTGAGATCTTGTTTCTGTCAGGTGTATCTATTTAATTAGTCCAGTGTGGTAACAGTTGCTATTCTTCTGAAGGGATGAGCTACACTCTATTTCTGTATTTCATTATTATGGCTTACAGATAATAAAAAAATCTAAATATAATTTTATTTAAAAATCTGAATATTTAACAAATTCAATGCAAAAAGGATATTTTAAATTGAAATTGTAGATTTCTGAAATGCATATGGAGCCTTGTTTTGCACGAATGACTTCAATCAGTGCTTCTTGGCACAGAGATGATCCGGCTGTGGTTCTGCAGAGCTGTAATAAAATCCCAGCTTTCATAGAAACTTTCAGAACATCTGCATTGAATAGAACATTCCTTCCCTCACTGATGGTGGTTCACATTTTTTCTCCAGTTTTTCCTTACACCCAACTTTCTGGGAATATTCTTGCATATAGCTCTGCGTTGACTACCAGCTTCTATAGTAATGATCTATTGCACCCTGCCCTCCTTGTGCAAGGTGTCAGTCACAGTCCTCTGAACGTCTGTAAGATCAGCAGTCTTAAGACCTTTAAAAATATGTTTTTGAATTTTTAAAGGTCTAAATAAGTTCAGTATCTGTCTTCAAAATTAAAAGGAATGGTTTCATGCCAAGTGAAATAATTAGATGTACCTGTAAACCTAAACAGCTTCTGTTTGCTCCTATCAGCACTCCATGTCCTGCCATTGTTGAACCCATGGAGCACTTGGATAATGAGGATGGTCTCCCTGAGAAGCTGCTGCAGAAAACTCCAAAGTATTACAAGTAAGCTGACTTTTTCCTTTTATTTATTTAATATTTATGTAGCATTATTGGTAGTTATATAATTGCTCATCTAACAGGGAGCGGGAACAGCCGCCCCGGTTTGCTCAGCCGGGCACCTTCGAGTTTGAATACGCGTCTCGCTGGAAAGCTCTGGACGAGATGGAGAAGCAGCAGCGAGAGCAGGTGGACCGGAACATCAAAGAGGCCAAAGAGAAGCTGGAGTCGGAGCTGGAGGCCGCCAAAAACGAACACCAGCTCATGTTGATGCGACAAGGTAAGAGACGGGCGGGCGGGGGACATTTTTTTCTGCGTTTCCGCCGATTTAGCTTTTTGAAATCTTCCTGCTCCTTCTGCTCAGATCTGATGAGACGTCAGGAGGAACTGAGGAGGCTGGAGGAGCTCCGCAACCAGGAGCTGCAGAGGAGAAAGCAGATAGAGATGAGGTGTGTTTCCTACCTGTTCACAAACTACCAGAGGACCATTACAAGCATTTTAAGAAAGGAGTTAGATTCTAATATTATCTGATAATTGTTTTATTGAAATTGATCTGTCTGTGATGTGGTTCCCATGTCTTCAGGCACGAGGAGGAGCGGAGGAGGAGAGAGGAGGAGATGATGAGACACAGGGAGCAGGACGACATGCGGCACCAACCAGATGGGTTCATACCAAACTACCAGGACAACGTGAGTACTGATGGAGAACACTTTGATTTGGTCGGTTCTGAATGTGGAATCGTCTGGCTGCTTCATATATATAAGACTTATATTCTATAGGATGTTTCAGGTTAACCTTGCTACATAATAAACAGCTTTTTTTATTTGATGAATACTGTTTTGCTTCTATAGATCGCCGAAGTTTTAAGATTTAAAAAACTACAACCCACATGACTAAAACACCTTCTCTGGTATTTAACTGTTCGTACAAGCTGATGATATTATTTTTTTAACCATAATTTATTGAAAACCTTTTCCATACCTTATTTTGATACCTTTCCATCAACTGTGGGGTTTGTGGGTTTCTGTATTTATTGACTAAAATTTCTACTGGTTGTACAGGTGCTGGTCATAAAATTAGAATATCATGAAAAAGTAGATTGATTTCAGTAATTCCATTTAAAAAGTGAAACTTGTATATTATATTCATACATTACATACAAACTCATATATTTCAGATGTTTATTTTGTTTAATTTTGATGATTACAAATGACAACAAATGAAAATCTCAAATTCATCATATCAGAAAATTAGAATATTGTGAAAAGGTTCAAAATTGATGGCCCCTGGTGCCACACTCTAATCAGCTAATTAACTCAAACCACCTGCAAAAGCCTTTAAATGGTCTTTCAGTCTAGTTCTATAGGCTACACAAACATGGGGAAGACTGCTGACTTGACAGTTGTCCAAAAGACGACCATCGACACCTTGCACAAGGAGGGCAAGACACAAAAGGTCATCGCTAAAGAGGCTGGCTGTTCACAGAGCTCAGTGTCCAAGCACATTAATAGAGAGGCGAAGGGAAGGAAAAGATGTGGTCGAAAAAAGTGTACAAGCAAGAGAGATAACCGCACCCTGGAGAGGATTGTGAAACAAAACCCATTCAAAAATGTGGGGGAGATTCACAAAGAGTGGACTGCAGCTGGAGTGAGTGCTTCAAGAACCACCACACACAGACGTATGAAAGACATGGGTTTCTGCTGTCGCATTCCTTGTGTCAAGCCACTCTTGAACCACAGACAGCGTCAGAAGCGTCTTGCCTGGGCTAAAGAGAAACAGGACTGGACTGCTGGTGAGTGGTCCAAAGTCATGTTCTCTGATGAAAGTAAATTTTGCATTTCCTTTGGAAATCAAGGTCCCAGAGTCTGGAGGAAAAGAAGAGAGGCACTTCATCCACGTTGCTTGAAGTCCAGTGTAAAGTTTCCACAGTCAGTGATGGTTTGGGGTGCCATGTCATCTGCTGGTGTTGGTCCATTGTGTTTTCTGAGGTCCAGGGTCAACGCAGCCACATACCAGGAAGTTTTAGAGCACTTCATGCTTCCTGCAGCTGACCAACTTTTTGGAGATGCAGATTTCATTTTCCAACAGGACTTGGCACCTGCACACAGTGCCAAAGCTACCAGTACCTGGTTGAAGGACCATGGTATCCCTGTTCTTAATTGGCCAGCAAACTCTCCTGACCTTAACCCCATAGAAAATCTATGGGGTATTGTGAAGAAGAAGATGCAATACACCAGACCCAACAATTCAGAAGAGCTAAAAGCCACTATTAGAGCAACCTGGGCTATCATAACACCTGAGCAGTGCCACAGACTGATCGACTCCATGCCACGCCGCATTGCTGCAGTAATACAGGCCAAAGGAGGCCCAACTAAATACTGAGTGCTGTACATGCTCATACTTTTCATGTTCATACTTTTCAGTTGGCCAACATTTCTATAAATCCTTTGTTTTTATTGGTCTTCAGTAATATTCTAATTTTCTGATATGATGAATTTGAGATTTTCATTTGTTGTCATTTGTAATCATCAAAATTAAACAAAATAAACATCTGAAATATATGAGTTTGCATGTAATGTATGAATATAATATACAAGTTTCACTTTTTAAATGGAATTACTGAAATCAATCTACTTTTTCATGATATTCTAATTTTATGACCAGCACCTGTATTTGAGCTCATCCTCTTATTCTGGATTATCTCCTATGGATTAGGCTCAGTGGAGACACTGCATGGTTTACGTGTACAGTTTTTTAAACTCAAGGTAAAAGCGGGGAAAAATTCCCAAAACAGAAAGTTTAAAGCTTTACTTTTATACAGAAGTATACCTTTTTTTATGTTGTTGTTTGTTTTAAATCTTGAGATATAATTTTGATACCTTTGATGGAAGATCCTGAATGTTTGTGACCTGCCTTCTGTCGCTGGCATCAATCATTTCACTGATATCTTTAGTGAAATATTAGTTGCCAAAATGTTCTGTTGTTAAATAAAAATAAAGGATTACAGAAATTAGTGGGGAAATTAGTGAGAGGGAGGTTAATCCACAACTCTTAAATATTCCTGAAAAGTGCAGAAGGACTTCTCCATCTTTTAGGACACTTGCATTTACAATCAGCTGTTACTCCAGAACAACCACCAGGGGGCAGACGTGAACAGATGACTGACCAGAAAACTTTTATGCTTTTCTTTTTCACTGTTATTTTTACACTAAATTATTAAACATGGGGATTGTATAAACATTTAAGGGCAAATAAGATTTTCTAGCATATGGTTTTGTTGCAGCAAGTGTTTAATACCTGATAAGAATTCATAAATTTGGTTAATTTATGAATTCCTATCCAATTCTTCAGCAGTTGATTATTTTTTCCACTTGATATTTACTTTGATATTTAAATTTTATTTTACCAATCAAAATATTATTTCTTATGTTCTTCATTTTTACTTTAACTCATACAATAAAACTTCATTTTATACCTCTATCTAGAGCTTTTCTGTGTTTATATTGAAATATATAAATTCTTCATATACTCTTTACTTTAAGGTGTGGAAATCACATTTTTTATATCTATTAAGTTCAGTGTAAAGTTATTGTTTTGTTTTTCATTATTTTGATGATTCTATTAGCAATCATTTTGATGAATAGTTCAAAGTTAAGAAAAATTGTTTTTATTCACATAAATGTCCCAGTAATGACGCAGCTGTTTTGTTAGGTGTGCTTCATTTTAGTGTTTACTATTGATCACTATTAGCTGCAGTAGGTAAGGTAAGTATAAAATATTCTCAAGTTGTAATAGATTAAACACATACTTATTTATTTATTTATTATATCAACAGTAGATTTGATCCAGATCGGTATATTGTTGTTGATGTTTGTTTTTAACCGTCTATGTTTGTGGATTTCCACGTTGGGGGGTATATTTATTTAGCTTCCTTTTTATTTGATACTTCTCATAATGAGTAAATAATTAAACAACAGAAGATGAACCAGAATCTAAAGCTGCCTAAAACAGTTTGGTGTATTTGTTTGTCAGTTTGAAGGAAAGAGGATGAGCGACTGAAGAACCTTTTATATTCTAAATGTGCCTTTCTCTGCACCTAAATGCTCTGCATGCATAAATGTGAGAGCAGAGATTGAACTGTCGCTTGTATTAACTTGGGATGTCCTGATACAACTATTTGATTTTCAATACGATACAGATGCTGCAGCTTTGAGAATCAACCGATACCGATATTGATCCGATATCATCTCGAATCATACCAGCTTTTATTATTTTATACTGTGGAACGTTAGAAAAACATTTATTAAAACAGGGAAGAAAAGTCTACAAAAAAACATTGACCCGTTTAAAATTAACCTTAAAAGTTTTTCTATCAGCATAAAAACATCTGAGATTTTAGATGCTGGCCGATGAAATCCGATCGTATTTTTCTTGTGGTTTTATCGGACGATATCCACTAATATCGGATCGGCCATCCCTAGTATTAACGGATTCTTTCGGCTGTTTGAGCACATTTTCATGCCAATGTGATACAACTTAATGCACAGATGGGATTAACAAGAAAACAACATGATAACTGAAGGACTAAGAATTAAATCTGAGACTGTCCTTCTACATTATTATCACCAACCTCAATGTGCTTTCTTTGCCTCATGATACGGCTGCAGCTTCTTTAGCACACGTTTCTACTGCTTCTACTTCTTTTTTATTATTTTCCAGTTAGATATAGGGTGTATATGGGTTCTATCCCATGCATTTTCATCTAGCAAATCTGTTCTATTTAAAGGAGCACCACTTTAGCAGCTGTAATTTCCTTTATTTTTGCTGATTGGTTGATACTTATATTTAAAACCAGTCTTCTCTATTTTGTCTAGAAACCTGTAAATAGTGCGTCCATAGTTCTATTCTGTCCTTCAAATGGTGAACCTCCATCCCAGTCCCAAATCTTTCTCAGACAACTAACTGCCTTCCGATCAAATGTGCCCAGTTTCCCTGTTCCTGCTGAAGAAAAGCATTCCCACTGCATGATGCTGCCACCCCCGTGCTTTACAGTGATGATGGTGAAGATTTTGTTCTGCTTCTTAATTCCTGAAAGTCTCCATTTTGGTCTTACTCAACCAGAGCAACTTTATTCACATGCTTGCTGTGACATTTAACCAGTGGCTGTCTTCTTGCTGTTACCCCAGACAGGAACTCATTGACCCGCATCTGTCCACCTGAAAAATGTGGATCTCTACAGCTCCCTCATCTCAAGTCCCTATTGGCCTCTTGGCTGCTTTTCTGGTTAAACCTTGACGGCTTTAATGTGACAATTTATCATAACAGTTCAAAGTTCAAAAACAGTGTAAAAGGCATGTTTCTATGATTTATTTTTCTTTTATAACATATTTACTTTTGCAAGTGTTTCCCTGACGGCCATCTCCACTGAGAGCAGTAATATGGAAACTGTCTGATTTTGTAATTGTCTTTAAAGTCATAGGGAAGTCATATTTAAATTTCAAATCATTCAATGATTCAATGATCAATGTACTCTTTATCAGACGATATTGTCCCAAAAGTTAGAACATTTCTCTTAAAAAAAAAAAAAAATCCTATCTTAACATCTGTTGGGGGGGGGGGGGGGGGTTTCGTTATTTTATGCAGGCCAGTTAGTTATACGTCAGCTAAATTCCACCTATTATATATTACAGTCATCTGTCAATCAAAATTTTTCGATCATAGCATCTTGATTCATATGTCGCAGTTAATATACGCAACGGTTGAAATAAGAATAATTTACTTTCCCATTGAGTTCCGTCCCAGTGTTCACGGGGATGGACGTCTGTGTCTTCAGCAGGCGTAGAGCTAACAGAACTGGCAGCGTTGCGAGGCAAGGGCTCCAACATGTACGGCTGTAAGCCTTCTACACCAAACCAAGCTTCTGCTGCCCTGGCGTCCTCTTCCACAACAACTTTGTCCCCGCTTTCCTCCTCTAAATAAAAAATGTATGACGGAGGAGACTCATCAACGACCTCCGACACAAAACTCTCCTCCTGTTGCATGTTTCCGCTGTCCATAGCGTTCCTTGAGTGTCGTTGCTAAGTGCTACTTGGTCCCAGTGTAATTTCTTATTGGGAATCTACTAGCACTAAGTTGCTAACTGGTTAGCAAGATGCTTCCGACAAACCGGCCACAACCAAATTTGCTTGCGAACCTTCCACCACAATAATCCCGCCCCCTTGATAAACGACCAATCACATTCACTTTATTAACTCTTGTAAAGTCAGGCACTACTCGGGAGAATTCGGAAATGCAACGGTTGGAACAGCTGCTTCCCTACGACTTTAAATACACATTACGAGAACAGCTATAATATTTTTACTGTTCTGCAGGTAGATCAGCTAAACCTCATCATTTAGCCCTTTGGTTTCCAGGCTTTTTAAGGTTCTTTACATTTTTTTTTGCTTGTCCCTACCCCCAAGATGGATTTACAGCAGTCTGTCCAATAACACTTTGTATTTTAGCTTTTTTTTTTATATATATCCTGAAGGCTCTTCTTCACTTCTTTCAGAGGGAACAGGAAATGAGAGTGGGCGAGCTCGGCCCTCGTGGAGCCGGTAATATGGGAGGTACGGGCATGATTCTGTGGATGAAATATTTTTGATGTTTCAATTTTTCATAGACTCACGGTAGGAGCTGTAGACTTCACACCAATGTTTAGTTTTTGCATTTCTCATATCCTTATTAAACTGCAAAAGATAAGATGGCAATTTACTGGACATGCGGTTAATGCTAAGCTAACTGAACTACTTTGATGGGTGAAAGATGTAGTTTTCATCCTGAGCTGCATGCAGATCAAACTTTCTGCAAGGTGGTATCAAAAATATGGGCTTCCATAATTAAATGCCATTGCATTAAAACAAATGCACATTAATATCCAACATGTTTTAAGGGATTGTTTCTCATTTATTGTTTTAAATTGATGTTTTTTTATTTATGTGGAAAAAATACATAGAAAGGCTTTGGTTGTATGTCCGTTTTAAATCAGGGAGCTAAATTGATTTGGAGCTTAACCCAGGATTGCACATCCCCTTTATAAACAGGTATCAGTCATACCTCTACGGTTGCTTCAGGGTTGATAAAATACTTTTTTTTTTAAATGTTTTGTGTTATTATATTTTCTCTCATTCTGTGCTCCCATTTGTTTTTATGCTTTCATTCTGTTTAAAACATCTTTCATCTTATTGTTTTTACTCTTCAGATAAAATCTTCACAGGTTTTAATTCAATAAAAATTAAAAATTAAAGCTTTTTTTTTGGTTTAAACACAAGAAGATTGATGTTTGTGTGCTTTAGAAAGATTAGCAGCTACTTTAACTGACCCTTAAAGACTGGAAGCGCTGTGGTTCCACTGTTAAAATGTCAGCTCAGGGAAATGAATGTGGTGAAATGATGCCAACTCTGTGAATTACAGACTTGTGTAAAGGGTTTTGGATAAGATTCTTAACATTTTACACCATTTATACTGGTTAAAGAAAACATCTATTAAAGGACAACCCCTACCTGAATCTAATGTTTAATTTTGTTAATCAGACTTTTGAGAAAGGAGAGCCATCGTATCATCAGACCTGCAGCATTTTTACTCAGACCTTTAGGAGAAAAGGGGGGCATTTAAACATGCGAACCTCCAATAGAGGTTCTCTCATTATTTAAGAGAAGTTGAATTGATGTAATCAAGATGAGCACAAAACAGGAATGCCATTGCAGATACAGCTTTGGTATGAGGGACTCCTGTGTGAACTGCCTTCATACAACGCAAGTGTCCCCCATGCGCTCTAGAGGGTGCAATAACGTCAAAAGCAAGCATGCTCCACGTTTACAGAAGTAAACATGGATAGTAGTGCTAGAGTGCCTCTAGCGATCTTCTGTAACCTTAAACTTCTGTAAACTCAATCTTTTCAAGATTGTTTAAAAAAAAAAACTCTCCGCATCATCGACCGCCATGGTTGTTGTTTTTCTTCCCACTTCTGCGTAGCAAGAAGCAGAATAGTGACCTTTGTGGAGAAGTAATGGTGTTCAGGTCGGGTGGATGCGACCTGGCAGTTCAGACACAGGTTGCATTTTAAAAGATCAGATTTGCATCAGATTCAGGACCACACAGCCAAGTGGGTCGCATTGGAAAAAATCAGATCTATGTTAAGACATGAAAAGATCTGATGCAGGTCACATATGGGCAAAAAAATCAGATTTGGGTCACTTCAGAGGACACGATCTAAAGGAAGATGCTTTTGATGCTCTGTTGTTCTTTGAGACTCCTGAAGCAGCATATGTGCGACTTCTGAAGTTGGGTATTAATGTCCTGGGCCATCATCTCAGGGGTGCTGGAGTCTTTTTTCTGTGAATAAAGCTCAGGCTGTGGCCCTATTCTTTGCCTATTGGTGGACTCCTCTAACCCTCTTCTATTCTGTTTATATTAGTCATATAGTTAGAAAGAGAAAACGGTAGAGAAAGTGGAAACAATGTTTTTTTCCCCTTTATTTGTAGTTTGGATACGACTTGATCCCTCAGGTTAAGGCAAGATCTAAGCTAAAAAACAAAGAATTTAACTTGGTCATCTATTACCCCATTTACACTACCCTTGAAAAACCGTGCCGAGACCGGTCCGAGCTCAGTAACTGAGATAACTTATCGTGTTTAAATGAAAAGCAAACTGAACTGAACCGAGCTAGACACAACCGGACGGAGCTAACTGCAGACCAGTTCCAGAGGTGGGCTCTGCTCGATTCTCTGATAACAAGAGCGCATGAGCAGAACGCGTCATCTCCGTCTGGCTGCACATCGCGATTCACACTCCATTCCAGTAGTTGGCGGTAATGCTCCTCCGGAAACAGAAGAAGAAGAACAACTTCTTCTTCAACTATAAACAACAATCGAAATCTTCTCCATGCAACATTTTAAATAATTGCATTTTAAATATTAACACCGAAGTACAGCAATAATAATCAAGCATAACTTTCTGAATGTGACGGGTGCCGCCATTTTGATTTGCTTGATTCCCTCCTCCTCCTTCTTGTGTTTTATGGCGGTTGGCAAACAATTTTTGGTGCATTACCGCCACCAACTGCTTGATTTCCTCCTTCAATACTGGCAGCAATACCGCAGATCGTCACTAGGAGGAGAGGAGCCGAGGAACCGAGATTGCCTGATGTGTAAACGGTCGTCAGAACCGAGCTCGGCCTGGTTAACTGATCAGAGCTCGGACCGGTCTCGGCACGGATCGGTTTTTCAAGGGTAGTGTAAATGGGGCTTTAGTGTCCTTCACTTATGACTATGAGACATCAATGGTTGAAATAAACTCTCTTTGGACAAATGAACCTGAAACTGTTCTATGTGGATAAAATAATTATAACTATACTAGAATTAGGAACGTCGCAATATAATTTTTTTCATTTCTGATATGATACAGATATTGCAGCTTTGAGTTGCGGCCGACACTGATAGGGACCCAATATGATATCTTTCTTCTTTATTATTATTTTTTGTAGTGTGGAGTGAGTCAACAACAATAACATTTAAGCTCGATTCTTAGACTAATAGAGAATGGATTCAAAAAGGAAAATAATAAATGAAAAGAAACTTTTACATGGAAGGAATTATCATATTTATATTAAAGGTTTTAAATGCTGGTAAATAGAATCCAATATGAATTTTATGGCTCACATCAGACGATATCAACATCGGGACACTTCTAAGTAGAATATAAAACTAGTTTTGTCTAAGATGTCCATTATATTGGCTTTATTAAGGTTTAAAAGTAGGGTTGAAACAATTAAATTAATCATGATTCATTGATTATTGAAATAATCGACAACTAATTTAGTAATCGATTAATCGTTAACTGGAGTATAGAGACTCTAATAGATGCCTTTAGCTGACAAGAGTGATTTACTTAGAGCAGTTTAATATAAAAACAAAATTGTCAATATGCTCGACATAGAACTCGTCAAGTGGAAAAGTTTCACTTTTACCTGGTTTCATTCTGCAAAAAAACATTTTTCTGTAAAGAATCATTGGCTATCCAATTATTAATCCATTAATCGCAAAAAGTAACCGACAGATTAATCGATTTTCAAAATAATAATTAGTTGCGGCTTTAGTTTAAAGGGTTATTTTGAGATAAAATCTCAAACTGGCTGTGAATAAACGCTATAGTTGGTGCAGGGAGTCCATTCATAGCACCGCTTACAGTAGGATACGTTGACTCAAAAACACTCGTAGGATTAGGTGTTTATTCTCCGTTTATGTAATTGTTGGTGTGGCGTATTATGATCCCATTAGATTACGCTTTAAGCCAATAGTGCAATTAATGGTTTGTTGTTGCATAGAGGAATTGGTCGGCATGTTTAATATAAAATCTGTTGAACATTAACTTTCCCTTCAGTCACTCATTTGTTCTTCACCATTGTCAAAACTTTTATAAGAAGTGAATTTGCCTTTTATCCTGTTCTCCCTCTATAACTATTTTAACTCTCCCTCTATGTGTCCCTTTGCTCTGGGTGATGTGCAATCCGGTGGTTAAATGTATTCGTGTCATATTGCTTAAAATGATTTTATATTAAAACATTTTTCTCTGTTCTTAATTATTCATGTTCTCTTTGACCTTTACTATATATATTTTAACATAAATCCATAATGTTTTCGTTTTAATTTAAAGTTTCTTTTATTTTAATCTTTGAGCACAAAACTGAATAAAATCTTAAACTGTTTCATAATTTAAGTGTAAATTTAAAGAATGATTACAGTTCTATAGATTCCTAAATTATAAGGTGTAGATTTTGTTATATAGATGCAGCATTAAAATGTGTAGTGCTATTCTATTACCTTTCATCTTTTTCATCTTAAAATGTGCAAAAGTTACATGATCAGATTGTGACGCACACGTCTAAATGAGGTAGTTTTATAGGAAACACACTGATGACCCGGTAATCCGTTGTTTTGCGTGTAGATGGGTTTAACCAGGCCTCTGCGGGGCCCAGTGGTAACCAGGGTCAAATGATGGGCGTGAGTGGAAGGGGAGGAGCCATTGCCCCAGAGGGAGCAACAAATATGGGGACACCTTTGATGTCAGAGAATGGAGCCATGGTAACGTATCTGAAAACGCTTTTCTATTCATGAAAACGGTCAGATCTAAAAACCAGAATACATTTCACAGCACCGTATTGAAAGAAATATAGCATTTTGTCCAATTTTTTATATATATATATATATATATATATATATATATATATATATATATATATATAAAGGAAAGAAAGACTTTGCTTTGGAAAATATTCAACACCTTGCAGATGTACATAACCTTCAAATTATTTCACATTGCCCAGTAAATTGACATAATAAAGCACCGCTGTGAACCTGTAAGGCTGACGGTGCAATCAGATAGTATTCATATCATTTTCCCACATGTGGTTATCTCACACCCTTATTTTAAACAGCATTAATACTCACTTTTGAAAATAGTAAAACGTTTTTAGACTTAGACAACTGTTATTTCATTTTGTTCAGCTTTCATGACATTAACATGTCTTAAAGTGCAGCAGTGATCAAATGTAAAGATTGGGAGAAAAAACTTGGTGCAAAAAACCCGCCTTGATGTGGAAGTTTAGAGCATTAAATATATATGGTGCAATTATGCACTGTTTTGTTTTTGAGTTTGACAATTTTTTATTGTACATGGAAAGCTAAAACTGTCTGTGCTGTCAACAAAAATATCTAATATATCATGTTAGCAGCCGCTTTTTTCTCAAAGAATGTAGAGTTGATGGGAAGGTGCACTGTTTAAAAATAAAAAAGTTTGCAGAAGTCATTTTAAAGGCAAACAATTTTCAGTTTATGACTTCATCTTAACCATTACGTTTTGATTTATATATATATATATATATATATATATATATATATATATATATATATATATATATATATATATATATATATATATATATATATATATATACCGGTATATATATATATTTTTTTTTACAGTTTTGAATCCTGATCTTTTCTAGTTGAAATGAAATCAGTGATGACTGAGAAACTGTAATGGACCAACTATAAAACTCACTTAAAAACAATCTTCCCCCTCATTGTCCCTCAGTGGGGAAATGTGTCCTCTGTATTCCCAACCGTTTTTATTTAATGACAAGCCGAAACTGAATAAAAAGCTTTATTTTTATCCTACAGAAATTAGTTTTATTGTTGAATTTCATAGAAGCTGTAAACAATGATCATTGTGCCAACACTCAAACCTCCTAATGAAAAGAAAAACAACCGTTTTCCCAGAAAAGCACAACAGTTAGCAGAACTTTCACCCTTTAAAATAACCAACATTTGTAAGATAAAAGTGTTATTAATGCACAATGTTATTTGAAATGATCAAGACAAAAAAAACATCCCCTATACCTTTTTACAGAAACCTTTATGTCCCCTATTCTCTGCATACATTGCAAATATTGGCTCAGGTTACTGAAACTCTGAAACTTAAAGAAAACATCACTGACATTTTTACTTCAGTATGTCTTCTGTAACAGACTCGTGGATCGGTTTGGTGAATGTTACCTGCTGCTGCATTCATGCTCCTCATTGTTTGGTCACTAAAAACATGCCTTATATCGGTATATATTGATAGAATGGCTCATGGCTGCTATTTAGTTTTAAAGCCAATTTTGTCCGATACTGGGAACATGCCATTATTGTCCCTAATTTCCTCCGTAGCTTATCAGCTTTTTGCGCTTGAAAATGGTTATTCTTTACCCAAAAAAGATAGTTATGCTTTTTTTTTATTTTTTTTTTATTTTACAGTGTGGAACTAAATTCAGAGCTGTTTTGCAGAAACAAATCCTGCTTTGGAATTTAGACGTTCCTAGTTTAATTTGACTAAATTTAAGCTATTTTGCAAAGAATAAATGCAAAAACAATTCAAACTGCATTTATTTGAATGTGTTGGTGAAATAAAATAAAAGACCAGAAAACAATAAGTCAGAGTCCTTATTAGAAATGCACATTTACAGTATAAATTAAACATTTGTTTTTTTTTTTTATTAAGATAAATGTGAAAATGTTTGAGGTATTGATACGTCTGCAAGTCATGTTGATCCAAGCAGTTTTGCTAAATCTTTAATGTTCAGTCTCGTTCACTAATGGTCGTCTTTTTCTTTTCTCTCTTCCCTACGGGTTGACCATGATTTTATTCGTTTTTTCTGGATGGCGACAATTGGATCAAACTGTCCTCTTACTCAACTTTGAACTTCTCCATTTTGGATCAAATGGATAAATGAATAACCTCACCGTTTGAAAACTGTTCCATGAATCTTTTGAACCAAAACCACTGCCACTGTGATCTCGGTGTGGACCTCAGTGTAATGACAGGTACCCTCAGGGTGGATCAATGGGGGGTCGACCTGAGGTGGAGTCCCCAAAGTTGCAGCAGGCGGCGGCGGTGTTGGGGCCCCAGGGTGGACCAGCTCCAGGATACGGCAGGGGGAGTCCCGTTTCGGGCGTCTTTGACGGTCCAAACAGCAAACGCCGCAGATACTAACGTCTAACTGTTCTTTAGGATGCAATGTCATCGGCCCTCATGTTTACCCGTCAACATCAACGCTCCAGTTTGCTAAACAAAGTCGCATGTTTTCTCTCCTTTAGTGGATTTACTTTTTGATTGATTCTTTTTTAGCATTTTTTTCCCCCTTCTCTCTCATTCCAATAAGACTAGTTGATACAAACACATTTATTGGAAAACAAAATATTTTTAGCATTTTTTGCAAACACTTTATGATGAGAGGTATGGCTCCCTGGGGTGGACATTAATAAAAGTTCAAATGTTCAGATTCATCATTCTGCACCCGACTAATAGAGGTTTATGAAAGAGCGGCACATGAGCTTTGTTTAGACACCCTCACTGTTTTTTTTTGTGTGGAATTGCCTGCTAGTTACCTTTGACCATGAAAGAAGAAACTCTAAACCAGAAATGTCAAAAGGATCTGGCTGCTTGCTTCACCTCTTTCTCATTTTATTCTGCAGGTTTGGTCATTTTAGAACCAGCTTGCTTGTAGAAAATGACGCCTGTATGCAGTGTTGGGCACGTTACTTTGAAAAAGTAATTAGTTATAGTTACTAGTTACTTCTCCCAAAAAGTAACTGAGTTACTAACTGAGTTACACCACAATAAAAGTAACTAGTTACTAGTAAAAGTAACTATTGCGTTACTTTTGCGTTTCTCGCCCCCGTAAACCTCACCACCCGGCCCCCACCTTCTCGCCTGTGTTTCCAAAGCCAGCTGAATAGAGCGGACGACAAAGACAAGAACCTGCAGACAGTTTAGCATTTATTGCAACTCAACGTAAATGACATCAGGGGGAACGCGATGTGAAGTTTTATAACAGGACATTCAGGTCCGGTGAGTATATGAAATTAATAACTGGGGATGTCTAATTCTGAAATCCTGTGTGTTTGGGTTGTTATAGATACTGCAACATCTATCATCTATCTATCTATCTATCTATCTAGATGTATACTCTGTGTGTGACATAAAATATGGATCTCCATCCCTGCCACAAAGGCCATCAAATAATGTTTAAAATAAAAAATACAGTAGGTTGAGAAGGCAGAGTATCCATCCATCCATCCATCCATCCATCCATCCATCCATCCATCCATCCAGATTTCTCCCTTTCTCCATACAGGCTATCATTTCTGGCTGTTGTCAGGTTCATTTGATCGTTCACGCTCTCTATAGTTCTCCTGTGGCGCGAGCACAGAGCGACTGTTGCGCGCCTTTAGCGAGCATGCGCGTTTCCTGTCGCTTGCGCGGTGACTCTTGCCGCCTGCGCTGTGTGGAGATGCAGAGGTAACCGTTATGTGATGGGGAAACGCAGCTCGACGTAACACCGGTATTTCCATGTGGAAAACGCTGTTTTGCTGCTGGAGTCATCCTCACTCTCCATCTCTCTGTGTGTGCTGTACGTTAACACCCACCAGCAGAAACACCAACCTATTCAACTGACAGACGGAATCTCATCCTCCCCTCTCTCATGACAAGGCGCGCACCTCTGGATGACCTAAAAAAATAATCTTTAATATCTCTTAAACAAAAGTAGAACAAACAATATTTTTTTCTGCACAAATCTGCACTAACGTTGCACTAACCATTCAGTCTATTTGCAGAGTTTTTTGATGTGGGTGGGGTGTCAGCTTCACGCAGCTGCGCACGAGTCCTATAATGAAAAAAGGTTCATTGTGCGACCTGAGTAACGCGCAGTAACGGGGTGCCTGCAATGGTAACTGCGTTATAGTTACAGTCAAAGTAATTAGTTAGATTACTCGTTACTAAAACAAGGTAACGGCGTTAGTAACGCCGTTAGTTTCAACGCCGTTAGTCCCATCACTGCCTGTATGTCGGTTCATAGCAGATTAGGTGACGCTCCACGCACACTTTGAGATCTGGCATCTCTCTGTATTCCTCCTATACTGTAGATCTGCAGCAGTTTCCCAGATTAGTTTAGATTTAATTTAAATCTTCAGAAATATCCCACGCAGCAGTCATGATGCGGTTCCTCCTTCCTCTGCTACGCCTCAACTTCCTACGTGTTGCTGAAATCAGTGCATTGGTTTTAAAACGGTTGTTAAAGGACTTAATTAGAAAAAGGGTAAAAATTACAAAATATCATTTAATTCAAGTTCCGCTTAAGATTTAGAGGATTTTCTCACAACACCAGCAGAGATAAATAAAAGGGGATAGGAGCTGGCAGAGGGGTAAACTGCCCCCGGATACATAAATACAGCTATTAGTACTGGTACTTTAGCAACTTTTCAGAAAACTTCTTACAAACTTTTGAATGGCAACTTTTTTTTAAACTGAAAATGTATATTTTCTGAATGTTGAGTGTTCAGCTCTTTTTTTTTTCATTTAAAACCTTTGCTGCTGTTAACTAATATAGACTTAAAATAATGTTACAATCTTTATCTGTTGATGGGAATATCACTTGTACAAGAAATATGGTGTATTATGCTAATATTTTAGAAATGGTACAATTCTACAATTTCAAAATAAGAGGATTTTAGATTTATGAATGAAAGAAGCCACATGTACAGTCACTGAGCAGCTGCAGGTTTTATCTATGCTGATTTTCAGGGCAATGACTTCCAGCTTCTTATTGAGGTTTTTATTCTTGCTGTTGAATTAAAAAGCCGACATGTTGTTTTATATTATTTTTATGCTTTGAGTATTTGTGTTTGTGACATCCTGAACTTGCATACATACTAGCGATTACTGTGAAATCCTCCTTTTCTTTGTGTTTGGGAATTTCTTTCCCCATTTTTCACCTCAGAGTAACAGGAAATAAATGTTGGATGTACTCATTGTGTGTCTCGTATTTGATGGTCAAGAGAAATTAATATTTGTGGAATTTCTTTTCTTGTTTTGAACGAACTATAATTTCTTTTTTTTTTTCAATGAAAATAAAAATCCTCCACTTGCATCTTTCTCTCTCTGATTGTTTTGAACTTTTAAACACATAAGACACTTAATGTACTTTTGGTCAAATATCTCTTTATTTTTAATCCCACTCGGATGAAAATATATTTAAACTCTTTGACGTTTTCTGTACATGAAGAAAGGTTTAAAATGTGGAATACCATCTCTGAACACACATGTTGGACTTTGAAGCAGCAGAAGACGGGAAACGTGGCTGGAAACTTGCTGCTATAACCACCTGAGCTTGGTGTAGGTGGCGTCATCCTGTGGGATATATTTGAAGTATCACATTAAAAATACTCAGAATGTGTGTTTGTGTACTACAGCAGAACATGTCATTGACTTTTTATGCTTGAATCGGTAGTTACTATCTTGATTTTAGTTGTTCTTGTCTCTGAGGTAATTTTCTTTGATAAAATGTTCTCTGCTTTCTAAACTCTGTTTTTGCCATTTTTTAATCCAGTGGAATTAAAATCAGTGTAAAATAGAAAAGTATGTTTAATTAGCATTAATTGATTCTTAATCACTTTTTTTCGCTTTAGGGTGAAAAATTTAAAACCTGAAGATCTGCTGGAAGTATTAAGGCTACGTTCACACTGCAGCCTTGATGCTCAATTGATGCCCGATTTTTTTGTGAAATCCGATTTTTTTGCGTTGCCGTCCATATTTCCAAATAAATGCGACTTGTATGTGATCTCCTGTGTGAACTGCAGTCATACAACGCAAGTGTCCCGCATGCGCAGTAGAGGACGCAATGACATCACAGGCCAGCGTGGATGGTAGTGCCGGCGTGCATCTAGCGGTCTTTTCCAACCATAAAAACACAATCTTTTCAATATGTTTTAAACATAAATACTGCTCTCCGCATCATCATCTGCCATGGTTGTTGTTTTTCTTGCTGAATTTCGACTTGGCCGTTCAGACACAGGTCGCATTTAAAAAGATCAGATTCGTATCAGATTCAGGACCACATAGCCAAGTAACCTGAGTCGGATTGAGAAAAATCTGTGTTGTTCAGACAGCCATGAAAAGATCAGATCCAGGTGACATATGGGCCAAAAAAATCGGATTTGGGTCACTTCAGGCTGCAGTGTGAACGTAGCCTAAGAAAGGACATTTATAAGGCTGTTAAACAGTTTTTGTCAAACATTTAGAAAATAATTCGATAAAGAGGGGGGAAAAGGCAGCGGTACCAAGCATCACAATGCAATCCACTCACAGTTGCTGCTCTTATTTAGCTAAATGAACCCAGTTTGGTTAAGATCAGAGTTTACGGACGAATTGGCTGAAAGATGAGTTTGAAATGTTGGAGGTGCTGCAAGAAAACAGCTGAGACTGACAGCCTGGTGTCAGGCCTCAGTAAGCAGGTGGCTGTGACACCATCATGGAGAGGCGTGTCTGCTGCGCTGCTGCCATCAAAGACTTTGTTTATAGATGTTGGAGCCTGGCCTGTTTTGCAGTGTAGTCCTGTATCTCTTACTGTGACTAACTGGATGTTCTCTTTATATCCTCTGACATGGGAGCTGGCTCGGAGCTCGTCCGCCTGGCTGGACGGGGCCGCCTGTGGAGCTGGTTGACAGTTTCCGTTTTTATCTCAGCTTCTTTTTCTATGTTTGCTTCTGTCTCCTTGAACCCCAGTCGGCCTCGGCAGATGGTCGCTCACACCGAGCCTGGTTCTGCTGGAGGTTTCTTCCTGTTAAAGGGGAGTTTTTCCTCTCCACTGTCGCTACAAGCATGCTTAGTGTGCCTTTGATTCAATGAGTCTATACAATCCGCTGGTTTTCCTTAGATCGAAAACTTTGAACCAATTTGACTATGATCTGGTTGAACTGTCTCTGTAAAGTGACTTGAGATCACGTGTTGTGAATTGGTGCTATAGAAATCAACTGAATTGAATTGAGAATCCCCACCGATCTGCTTCTACGACATGAACGGGTCGCCATCTGTTAAACGTCAGTTTATTGATATGACACATTTAAAAACAAAAGATGGACAAACTTCTGCGGGGGAGGCTTGAGATGATAAATGCAATTGAAAAAATAAAAAATTAAACAGGATTCAATATGGAAATGAATTTTTAAATAAGCAGGTAAGTGTGTTTCCTGGATTTTCAGGACATGTTTGTCTTCATAGGTACTTTATCTCTCTCACGGTGTAAAAAAATAACTTTGAATCTGAGAAGCAGCAGAGATCCAGCAATCTAAATATGCTGTTTTATCTTACCTGCTCATCAGGACACGTAGACGTCTGTGTTTAGACTGAAAAATATCTGCTGCTTTTTCTTTCACTGTATTAATATCCAGACCTGAGAGGGAGAGGATTTGACTCTTTGATTTCTGAAACTCTTTATTTATATTTTTTTGCTTTTCCTTCTGTCTTTAATGTGTTAGAACATCTGGTAACTGACGTGGCTTCCTTCCTCTTCCCTGCTCCCAAGAATCTAGCCATTATGTATTTGTGCTTTAAATCGTTCACACACAGGTGGATTAGAACTAACATAACCTTTAAAACTCTATAATTCAGCTTATTTACTCATAATGAACATAATAATAGTCAGTTCTGCATACCTTTAGCTGCTTTATACTCTTGCTTGTTCAAATCATCTTTCAATGCCTCTCTGTTCCCAGATCCCAGTTTTTAAACTTAGTTTTAAATCCTTCAGGTATTTATTTTTTTGCAGAAAATTTATAACGCAGATAAATGTCTTGGCTCTCGTTTGGAGTCCTGTGATGCGTCCTTCAGATGTTCTTAATGCCGTCTACCTTTGAACTGGTTTACTCCCCACTCAGTGTGGTTATTGTTCTGCTTCCACATCATCCAGATCCTTTAGTAAAAGACAATATTCTCATTTATGCAATCAAAATCAGATGCCTTGCATTAAGGCTGTCTGGCCTGGCAGGTTACTTATTTGATTATACAAGCTTTACTTGTCCTTTTTGTACTTTTTTCATATCAGTAACTTGTGGAAATGTTTGTCACATTCTTTTTGCTTCGGATTTTAGCTGTTTTTTTATATGCAGGTTAGCTGAATAATGGACCTGAACCCTCTCTGGTCCCAGTCTCAGGAACCTCTGTGTTTTGTTGGATCTCAACATTTTCGGTGAAAATTGCTTTGATCGTTTTAAGGGATTTTTTTCCAGAATTATTTATAGGTATTGTGGAGGATTTTTTTTTAAAGACCCACCCTCTCCAGTTTAAAAACAAAATGCACGTGCAAGAGCATGCACAAGCCCATTTCTCCTCGTGCAAGTCCTGTTTAAAAAGGACTTGCCATAATGCTTTGCGAGGAGGGCTCTCGGCGCAAAGCATTCTGGGATATATCTGCCTCTTCTGAGGCCTTTTCTTCTCATACACTTCGTTGACACTTTTTCTCTTACGACCCTCTGCCATTTTCAAAGAGAAAGGTGAGCTTCAATGACTGTCGGAAGCCGTAGCTCTCCACCGATATACGCCGCATGTGCAAAAAAAGATATCTAAGGGGGCGAGCACTTAGGACAGCCTTATGTAAACATATCACCAGAATGATTGACAACTAGGAGGACCGCTTATTTAGATGATCCACCCGCAAATAAAAGATCTTCCTTTATATCTTTAAGTGTAAACCCTAAATCTGACCTGGAGCTGGTTATTCCTCCCTTATAGTTTGTTTTAGTTGTTTTAATAAATCGCATCCATCATCTCCAGTTGGTGCATAATGCTGCAGCAAGGTTTTTTGAACAGGAACTAACATTGAACGCATCACAGCAGTTGTTAAAATTGTTAAATGGATGCTTAAGACTCGGTTTAAAACTTTTCCTTTAAGACTGTGGAAAATCTTACACTCTATTCTGGTTAAAATGATCTTATTGTTTCTTTCAGCTGTTTTTTTTTTCTTTTATTATTTTATTTATTGTACATTTTCATTATAATCGTTTCATTTGCACTCTGTTACCCACTTAGATTTACTATATACCTGTGAAAAAGGCCAAATCAAGTTTCCTCGCTGTCTTACTTGGTATTAAAACTTAATTTAGTTTTTTATATTTTCATGTTTGAATTGTTATTTTACACTTTTTTTAAATTATTTCTTTGTACCTCTTTTTGCACAAAGCTTTGCAGTAAGTTTTAATTTGTTCTTGTCTGCTACAGGTGCTGGGTGCCAGATGCCACTAATAATGCTGCAATGGAACTGGTAAATGTTTGCATACACACTCAATATTGTTTTTTTTTTTAGGAGCTAAATGCTTATTTTTCCTTTTTTTGGCTATGGATTTTTACTAATACCGAAGTTCGTGATTTATAAATCCTATAAACACCGCAGGTAAGTCAGTTTTTCCAATGGGTTTGGGTTATATTTCATGTGTTACACTTTAATACTTGAAATAATGATGAATTTCTGAGGAAACGGGTGATAAATAAGCAACATGCAGGATTTATTCTAGATCTGCTCTGGAAAGAATATTAGAAGTTAGATTAAAGGTGCTGCAGCTTTACTGTCAGATGTCTGGACTTTGACTAGGCCGTTTGAAAATCTTGTTTTGTTTAGCTTATTGACTGTTTTTTTTCCAGTTTAAGTGAATTTATTATTATTTTAGATAATCTGTATCTTCAGAATGATTTATTTTTGTTAAATTTGTTTTATTTCTGTCCTGAATAAAGTTGATGAAACACCATTTTCTTTTTTAAGCCTCTTCTTTTTGCCCACAATGACTTAACTTCTCTGTTTCTTATAATTTCTTACTGTGTGTCTAACCGTTGGGTTCCTGCGCCTTGTTCACTAAACGTGTCTCTAAACAGCAGCGACGCACGAAACATCACATTTGCCTCTGACCTTTAAAGTCGAGTCGATGCCTCAAACATGAAGGAAAAAGTGTTGCAGTGAGAAATGTTGGGAGACGGGGAAGGGGGACGTGTTACTTTTCTTCGCCATGCCCAAGGCTGCTCATTACCATCAGGAGGGGAGGTAATCATCGAAGTGATCCACTTTCAACGCGGCTGATTGGGACCAAACTGGGGAATGAATACTTCACTGTGCTTCACTTTGTGGCCTTGTTCTTATTTAGCCCACTTTATGGCCCACTTCTGTTCTAGATTATCGATTTTTTGGGGTCAATAACCACTTTTTAAACTCAAGTCCCAAACAGTTATTAGTAAATATTAGAGATTAGGGCTTAAGCAAATCATCAGATTAATCGTGATTATTGGAGTAATCAACTTATTTGGTAATCGATTAGTCGTTTACTTGAGTGTCGAGGTTCTGAAACGTCTTTAGCTGACAGAGTGACCCACTTAGAGCAGAAATTATACCAAAATTATTAAAAAAATACATAAACATTTTGCTTTTAAGATAAAAATCTTCGTCTTTCAGTATGCTCTATCCAGAACTCAAGAAGAAAGGTTTTAAGTTGATCTGGTTTCATTTTGCAAAAAGTCTTCTTCCAATTATGGATTAATCGAAAAAATAATCGAAAGATTAAGTGATTTTTTTTTTTTATAATTGTTAATTGCAGCCCTAAACCAGATGTCAACCTGCGAAGAAACTGCAACTTTTTGTTTGTTTTAGTTATTTTTTTCTTTTCTTTTTGCATTTTTCTGAAAGTTTGTCCTTCATTATTAGACTGCCGCATACTTTTAATCAGTTCTCATGACTGTTTGCCTGCAATTTAACATTTTATCATTTTAAACCCAGCCCCTAATTAAGGGTTGTTTTATTGCATATTTTACTTATTTTTCCCCACATATTTAATGATTGACTAACAGAAAAACCTTGTTTATAAGAAAGCTGTTAAAATCCATATTTCTAAAAGTCTTGCAGCATGGTGCTCTGATCAGATGCTCTGGGCTGCAACAATAGACTTTAGAACATCTTCTTGCTGGAAGGTGAAGTCTGCTGCTGATTTGCTCCAACATGATGTAAATCACTTTTCCTCCATAGCTAGTATTTTTAAAGTAGGACCAAAAGTTAAATTTCAATCCGATTGCACTAGAGTTCATTCTTCATGTCCCTGATATGGTTTGTTGTTAACTGATGAGGAACTTATGGTTATCTTTAGAGCAGAAACAATCAGATTAATCATGTTAATTGATTATTGAAATAATCATCAACTAATTAAGTAATTGTTAATCGTATATATACGATATATATATATATTAATCGTTTAGAGTATAGAGACTTTAAAACATGCCTTTAGCTGTCAGATTAACAGTATTAAACTAAGATTGGAAATTAATAAATATATATTTTATCTTTAAGGTAAGAAAAACTTATGCCTGTCAATATGCTCTATACAGAACTCCTCAAGTGGAAAAGTTTTATGCTGATGAAGATTCTTAGTCTTTTAGGTCATTTTAGGTCATAGTCATTCCGTAAAAGTTTAAAAAGTTTATACAAGGCTTTGTCTATAAAAGACTCAAAAACTCACTTCGGATCCAGACATTTGAATTGAGAAAGCTTCCTAGAGAGGAAGCAAAACATCTTCAAATCTTGGAAACCGAGTCCAGTGGATTGTTTTTTTTTTTCTTTTCAAAATTTTTACGTAATGGAAAAGTTTGTTCCACCTGGTTAAATCCGGTAAAAAAATAGTTTTACTATCCGATTATTAATTGAAAAAACAATCTACAGATGAATCGATTTGCAAAATGGTCATTAGTTGCAGCCTTTAGTTATCTTGCCATTTCCACTGGACTATTGTGTTGTGAATTTGTCTCTCCTGTGAGTTTAGGTGGACAGTCGTGTCTTGGTAAGTTTGCTTAGACAATCTCAACTTTCCTCCTAACATACCTGCTGTTTGTTCACTAGTACTCTCCAACAGTCCTTCACAAAGTGACTTATTACTATCTAGGCTGTTTGATTTCATTTAGGAATAACATAATCAAAGGTTGTTGTTTTTTTGTTTACGTCAAACTTTTCCATATTTGTGTTTCATCTCGCAAAAAATAAAATCTGATAAACTGTAAATTTTGTGGTTATAAGTTGAAAAAAAGTGACGTTTGTGTTTATGTTGGACTTTATTTCTCATTAAAATCGTCTCTTTTTATCCATTTTAAATGCAGACACAGAACTTTTTCTTCTAAGGGTGTCTATAAATAGTAGCCTGGCTGTTTAAAAGAGCAGATTTTGGTAAAAATAGTGAAGATCTATTTTTTGCAGCGTGGTGGCACCGCCTCCTCTCTGTGCGTAAAGACGCATTAAGAGTTGGAGCAGCGCCTGATAATCCACACAGGAGCTGCAGCTCAGCCTTTCACTCATGGTTGGTTTGAGGAGCCGGGAGCTGGTTTCAACTCTAACTTTATAAAATTTATCAGATTCTCTCCTCAAACCTTTATTTTTTTTGTTGCTTATGTTTTTGCTTCCTTCAGCTTCTGCTGAGATGTGTTGCGCGCTCCTGACAGGGAGGTTATCGCTGTGTCACTTAAGGACATCTGGATACTGAGGGACTGGATGGATAGCATGTCTCCGCAGCAGCGGCAGGACAGCCTCACCCGGGGCGGCCAGCAGGAAAACAGACGGGTGAGATTTCCTCCATCCTCCACATGAATGACTGTTTTATCTGCATGTTTGAGGGGGAGACAGGGCAGGTCAGAGGTCAGGACTTTCACTCAACTGTTAGACTAGAGTTAGGGATGCCTAGATCTTCGCATTTTTGTTTTAATGTGAGCAAAAGATATTTGAATTGGATCAAATTAATCTAATAATTGTTTTTATTTGATAAAAAATATGTAGTACTATGCTGTCGAAGACTCTTTATAACGGATAGAGAAGAATAATGGATGAAATATGGAGCTAAATAGAAATATACAAAGCTGTTAGAATGGCCTAGTCAAAGTTCACACCTAAAAGCTGTTTACCTCACAACATGGAGGTAGTAAATACTTCAAATTAGTTTATTCTGTAACAGCAACTGTTAAAAAAAGTTATTCTATCAAAGCCCTGCTGCGAATTCTTCCCTCTCCACTGGTTTTATTTCCATTACCAGCATGATGTTTGAATAACAAACACTCAAACTGGATCAACTCATCCTCTGAGCACAACTGCATCTTTTTTTTTTTTTATTCTACACCACACAATAGCAGATCTCCTCTAATGCTTTCTTCTCGGATGTTGACCCAATGAAGAGTCCTTTCAGTTTACTGGAAAATGCCACATTTTTTAATTTATTTTACAAAACACACATACTTCAATAAATGCATGATGACACTCTGCTCTAAAGGCTTTTAATAGTGACCCAGGCCCACAGCATAACACGTCCTCTGCTGTACTTGACCTGTTTTGAACATATTACTCCTTTGCTTCACCCTAAACGGCCCTGAAGTGTTTATTGCTTCTGAAAAACACTCAGTTTCAGTCTCTTCATGCTGCTTCTTAACCCTGTAATGCCAAATGTATCATATTTGATACATACGGTTTCTGAAATGTTTTGCGTCTGACACCTTTTGCATAATTTAATGGTAAAAACTTTGCTCAAAATCCTATTGTACACAATCAGATATACCTGATAACAGAGGGCAGAAGACTACACAAAAAATAATCTTAACTTATCGCATAGTAATAAATTATTAATATCAAAAATGTATTTCCGTTTTTTCTTTTTACATATTTTGTGAAAAGGCCAAATAAGGACTTCAAACCAAAAAAAAGTAATTTTCTGTTTTGTTTTATTCTTGGATCGGGCTTTAAAGGGTTAAATACGGCTGCTCTCCTTGCTTTTAAAGTCACAAACTGTTATATTATGATAAGTTCAGCTCTAGCAGCTGCTTCCCCAGTTTAACCACACATTTTCTCATCTTTCACATGTTAAGTGACGTATAGAAAAGGTTGTTTGGGATTATTGACTGAAAGTTCAGAGACAGTAGGATCAATCTAGAGAAAAAGCCACACTAGAAAAACAGATTAGTGTAATTTATAGGGAATGTTTGGGGTAGAGTGACTATTTAATTCTCATCACTACATAAATGTGTTTTAGGTAACGTTTTCCAGTAAGTGTGTCTGGCTGTTTCCCCCCTCTGTTTATTAACCTCTAACTGATCTAGAACTGGTTACTGGTTCTATTATAGAACATCTATCTCCCCCCGACATTTGGACTGTTTCTGAGTTCTGAATGCTGACATTGTGAAGCAGGGAGGATCAGGAATGTTTCACCGCTGTGCGACCGTGTGAAATCAGTGATGTTAAGAAGTGAAACGATGGGATTGTTGATATTTGGACAGAGGAAGACGGATGAGTCTAGCTTTGTTTGTTTTCTGCTCAGTCCTTTTTAAACTTTGAGATCTGGATTCAAGCAATAAAAGAGTCCTTACTCCACTTTTAATTAGCAAATATTCTATGAAAGAGTTTATGACAGGCTAATTTCATGTGAATTTTAGTTGTGCTTGAAAAGCAAACATGCCGTCGGTTGTAAACGAATCATATTTATGCGATAAAGTCGGTGTTTAGCTTCAAATACCTGCTAAAATACTTAATAAATCTGCGATTCTCTTCGGTAACCTTTAAGACCACAGATCAGACCTTCCTTCCCATCAACTCTGAGCAATATTCCTCTTCCTACTGAAAGAAAGCACCCCACAGCATAATGCTGCTAACACCATGCTTTACTGTAGGTTGATGTGCAGTGTTATTGTTTTGCATGTAGGCTGAAAAGTTTGATCTCGGTTTTATCCGACGAAAACATCATCTTCTCCTGAATGCTCGCTGTGTCTCCAGCAAGGCTTCTGGGCAAACTGTGCATCAGGTGATCTCTACCAAGTGGGTTAATCTTACATACTATAAAAAAAAAATGACAGTTATGTAATGGCTGTTTGTTCCCCCGCTTTAGTCCCACAAATCCTTTCACAATTAGATTAAACGAAACCTATTGATCCCCGTGGGGACACGGAGATAATAGGATACCAATATGGCTGCAAGCAACAGCTGCTGGACTTCAGCGCTGCAGAGATTTGGAAATACTTAATAGGTGGAGAAAGTTAAATCAGATTACTCGTTTTTTTTTCTGTGAATTGGAAAACATTAGTAAGGTCAACTTTTTTTAACCTGCCGCTGCTTGAGAAAGCAAACAATGGCTTTGAAAAAAAAAAAAAAAAAGCATGCTTACCTTTAAACCTTCTATTTATTTATAGCCACAGGTCTCAATTAAATCAATCCTAAAGCATTTAACCAAACAAGCAGGTCAGATTTCTATCCAATTATAAGAAACTAAAGTGGGTCAGTTTATAATTGAATAGTTTCTATAAAACCTAAACATAAGATTACCCTAAAAGAATTTTCTATGGTAAATAAGATATTAGTTGGAAGAAACATCTGCAGCAGAAACCTTCAATAAAAAGAAAAACAGTCAGACGGCTCGCTGACTGCACGGGATTTGGCGACTGTTTCTGATTTCTCTTTGTTGAAACCTTGTTTTTGTTTCAGCGAATGAAGTTCCAGAGTTACCGACGTCAGTCTGCGCCGTCTCTGGTCATCACCAAGGCTCTCACCAGGTCCAAAACTCTGTCCAGGTACTGACAAAAAAATCCAACCCTGCACAGTCGGTCACTAGCATCAGACGTGGCTCATGAGCCAAACTCTAACTAGGGCTGAACAATTAATCGCATTTTCAATATAATCGCGATTGAAAAAAATGCAATTTCCAAATTGCGGACGTCTGCAATTTTTGGCTATGTAACAATTAGTTAATCAGACGCGTTCTTTAGGTGATAGTAAAATATTTAAAGTGGATTTGCCTCCACATGGAAGGGAAGACAGTTGCAGCAGTGAGATAATCTAATTTTATTACTTGTTTTAGAGTTTATATATTTATACATAGCACTAAGTACCAGTTAATCAGTTTAATACATAGACTGGTTTGTTGGTTGCACTTTGGACTTCATGTTTAACAAGGACTGATGTCCAAATCAGTTAAAAGCTGTTCTCTTGAATAATATTCTGATTAATAAAAACATTAAAAGTTCTTGATTTAAATAGTCCTTGTTTACAATTGTCTTTATTTAGAGGCCATTTTTGTTGCTTGTGGTTATGTAGAGAAAAGTCAAAATTAAATTGCAATTTTGGTTGAAATATATCGTAGGCAGAATGCGATCATTAATTAGGACACAGCGTGTCTTTTAGCACCTAATCTGCACAGCGATGAAACAGATTGATTTGTTGTTTGTATATGTTTAAAAAAAGACATGATCAATTAAACTGGGGGAAAAAAATTGCATTAAATCGCAATATAAAGAAAAAAAATTTGCAATTAGATTATTTTCCAAAATCGTTCAGCCCTAACTCTAACCTGTCCAAATTAGTCCAACCGTTGCTTTCTACCATGTTTATACCGCTCTTGTTGACATTTACACACGTGCAGAGTTTGCTCTGACTGCCAACCCTCTAAGTAAAGTGTTGGATCCACTCTAATTGATAATCCTGCTGTTGACAAACTTATCCAAGGATCAGGCGCCTATTAATAGAGTGTGCCTTTGGACATATGGAAGGGGAAAGTGAAGAATAAGTAACCTAATTAAAAAGCTCCTGCAGGAGATGGGGCTAACTACTGAACATTAACCAATCAGACATGTCAGGTCACCACATTTAGACTGAAACAAAGCTTTGGAATAAACACCTGTTAATTTTTTATTAGACAAGATGGTTTTAGTTCATAAGTCAGATGGCTGCTTATCCAATAGGGAAAAAATAATGGAGGATTTTTCCCGCCAAAAACCAAGAGCTTGCTTTTTTTCTTTTAGAGAGCAGGATTTCCTCTACTTACACTCAAAACTTGTAATTCTCACTTTGAAGACTTTGATTCTCTCAAATCTTTTCTCTTTTCCATCAAATGTTTGATTCTGCTCTCAGTTTAAATGCTTGTTGCACTGAAATTTTTCTCTCGACTCTCCTTCCTTCCTTCTCCTCGCGTTCAAACCAGCCTCTGCTTGAGTCAGAGATACATTTGCAAACCCATCAGCTCTGCTTGCGTCTTTTTTTTGCTCTTTCTCAGACTGGGGTCAGATCATTGCCTTGCAACCTTTCCGGCCAATAAATTACAGTTTTAGAAAGGGTGCGCTTATTTTCTTCTACTGAGTTTGCCTGTTACTGCATACTGATAATGCAATAATTTCCAAATGTTTTCTTCGAACCCAATCGTGTGCAATGGTCTTCGATATGGCAGATCAAATATTTATATGAACTCATAGAAAAAACTGATCAAGGAACCATTTTAGCCTCAATAAAAGTAGGCGACTTAATTGAGTGTCTTGGAATCGAACCATCTTCAGGCCTAAGGTAAAAATAAAATTCCTTCTTCCTATAATGCTAGTCAGGGCAGATGCTAATTCTGCCTCCAACAGAAAATTAGACGACTTTTCAATTTAATTCAGTTTATTCCTATAGCTCCAATTCAAAACACGTCATCTCAAAGCACTTTACAGTTCACCAGATCATACAGTAAAATTATTTCAAAGTTTTCTATCTAAGGAAAACTAGTTGATTGCATCGACTCATTCACTCTTCATTAATCTCTCACACTAAGCATGCCTGTAGCGACAGTGAAGAGGAAAAACTCCCTTTTAACAGGAAGAAACCTCCAGCAGAACCAGGCTTAGTGTGAGCGTCCATCTGCCGAGGCATTATAAACCCTTATAAAGGTTTAAGTTTTTATTATCGTTTCTAATTGATTGTGTTCTCAGCTTCTTATTTTATTAAAATGTATATCATTGCACAATTTTAATATCAGTAAGCATCAATAGGCCAACTCGGTAGAGGAAAACAAGTGCCGCCTTTCTGAGGCTGTCGTTCCTTTGGCTGGAAAGGTTCCTAGGCGACGATCCGACCCCAGTCTGAGAAAGGGCAACAAAAGAAAATTCACAAGCTGAGCCGACGGGCTTGCAAGTGTATTTCTGACTAGAATCAATATATATATATATTAATTTTTTTTAATCACGATTAATTGCATCAATGCCTAAGTTAACTCGCGATTAATCGCATTTTAATCACACATTTTTTTTCTAATTGAAAATCATTTAAATACTCTTGATGACATACAAAAAATACATACAGGCTAGGTTTGTGCCAATGTTCTTTTTTTTAAATGAGAACAGGTCACAGACACTGATTTATGCCATAGAAACATATGGCAAGAAGATGGGGAGGCATGTAGCAAAAAATAACAAATATGTAGCCAAAAAAAAGGCCCTGAAAACAGGCTGATGTAAAAGACAGTCTTTACAGTTAATACAGTCTTTTGAACAAAGACAAGCATTTTACCCTACTGCTATAAAATGTAGTAGAGTTAACATTAGATGTTAATTAACCAAGGTAATAATGAACAATTTTCAATCAATACATCAAAATCAATAGACCGACATCACTAGATGGAGGTAGTCTATGCTCTAGAAAGTTACTTTTCAGCCTCTTAACAAAAATGAGAACACACACACACACACACACACGCACACGATACTGACCTGTGATGTACACAGACAGCAAGAGTGCCGTAGCAGATTCCATTTCACCTCAGTAATCTGTTTTCTCAGCGTATTTCAGGTTGCTACTAGTTACCAGACACTCAACTTGTTTGTTGGAGGTGGGGCTTAAAGAAAAGGCACTAGCGCTACCCAGTGTATGAGCGTCTTTTTTCCTTGAGGAGCTCCGCTCTCGAAGCCTATGAGAAATGCATAGACTGGGGGAAAATAGCCCTGCCTTCCCGCAGGCTGCAGCGGGATGTACTTGGAAAATTGTACCATAAAACCACATAGCGTTAATCTCACGTTAAAAAAATGATCGCCATTAAAATGGCCTCGCGTTAACGCAATAATAACGCGATAATTTTGACAGCACTAATATATATATATATATATATACACTATATTGCCAAAAGTATTTGCTCACCTGCCTTGACTCACATATGAGCTTAAGTGACATCCCGTTCCTAATCCATAGGGTTCAATATGACGTCGGTCCACCCTTTGCAGCTAGAACAGCTTCAACTCTTCTGGGAAGGCTGTCCACAAGGTTTAGGAGTGTGTTTATGGGAATTTTTGACCATTCTTCCAGAAGCGCATTTGTGAGGTCGCACACTGATGTTGGACGAGAAGGCCTGGCTCTCAGTCTCCGCTCTAATTCATCCCAAAGGTGTTCTATCGGGTTGAGGTCAGGACTCTGTGCAGGCCAGTCAAGTTCATCCACACCAGACTCTGTCATCCATGTCTTTATGGACCTTGCTTTGTGCACTGGTGCACAGTCATGTTGGAAGAGGAAGGGGCCAGCTCCAAACTGTTCCCACAAAGTTGGGAGCATGGAATTGTCCAAAATGTCTTGGTATGCTGAAGCATTCAGAGTTCCTTTCACTGGAACTAAGGGGCCAAGCCCAGCTCCTGAAAAACAACCCCACACCATAATCCCCCCTCCACCAAACTTTACACTTGGCACAATGCAGTCAGACAAGTACCGTTCTCCTGGCAACCGCCAAACCCAGACCCGTCCATCAGATTGCCAGATGGAGAAGCGCGATTCGTCACTCCAGAGAACGCGTCTCCACTGCTCTAGAGTCCAGTGGCGGCGTGCTTTACACCACCGCATCCGACGCTTTGCATTGCACTTGGTGATGTATGGCTTGGATGCAGCTGCTCGACCATGGAAACCCATTCCATGAAGCTCTCTGCGCACTGTTCTTGAGCTAATCTGAAGGCCACATGAAGTTTGGAGGTCTGTAGTGATTGACTCTGCAGAAAGTTGGCGACCTCTTCGCACTATGCGCTTCAGCATCCGCTGACCCCGCTCCGTCAGTTTACGTGGCCTACCACTTCGTGGCTGAGTTGCTGTCGTTCCCAAACACTTCCATTTTCTTATAATACAGCTGACAGTTGACTGTGGAATATTTAGGAGCGAGGAAATTTCACGACTGGATTTGTTGCACAGGTGGCATCCTATCACAGTTCCACGCTGGAATTCACTGAGCTCCTGAGAGCGACCCATTCTTTCACAAATGTTTGTAAAAACAGTCTGCATGCCTAGGTGCTTGAATTTATACACCTGTGGCCATGGAAGTGATTGGAACACCTGATTCCAATAATTTGGATGGGTGAGCAAATACTTTTGGCAATATAGTGTATATATGTGTATATGTAAACATTTGCATTTAAGTGAAAAAAAGCTTATTCTTCCGTCAATATGCTCTATCCAGAACTCCTCAAGTGGAAAAGTTTTAGTTTTACCTGGTTTCATTTCGTTAAAAAAAATCTACTTTGAGGAACCTTTGGTTATCCCGATTATTAATCGATTAATGAAAAATGAACAACAGATTAATCGATTGGCACAATAATCGTTAGTTGCAGCCCTAATACAGTCCTTTAGTAGGAATGTATATGGTTCATCCTTTAAATTTTAAGCATATAAAGGAAATAAAAGTATTGAAACCTGATTAAATACTTTAGACTTTTAGCATTTTTGTTTTTATACCTTATTATATACCTATTTATATACCTATTTTATACCTATTTATATACCTATTTTATACCTATTTAGTGCCCTCTGCAATAACGCTGTATAATAATCATGTTAAATAAGAGACTGCATATATATATATATATATGCGTGTATGAGGACGCACTGTATATACCCCCATACACCTTCTCCTCCTTTTGGCATCTCCTTCTTTTTGACGATTGAGCCGATGTAACGAGTAAATTGCTCCACTATGAGGTCAATAAAGTCAATCAATCAATCAAATCCACAAGTTTATTTATTTGAGTTTTTCTGGGTATCTATACACTAAAGACATAGAACACTTTGGTTTAATTTGGCGTTTAATGTATTGATGGTGACATCTGGAAGACCTGAAAACGAATCTTTAAAATATCTGAAACCACTGTAGCAAAACTGATCATTTTAACTTTATAAACCTGCACTAAAGAAGCACTATCTCACTCTTTATGCAGCTTTGGGAAACTACTTTTTTTAGTTATTTTAATAAACCAGAGAGCTGCATGCCAGCCTCTCCAGGTCTTAGTTAGTTTATTAAATGTATAAAAGGAAAACGCACCATCTACATCAGCACCTCATAGAGCATCTGAGTCGAATATAAACTCCTCCATTATTGCTGATAAAGGAAGCTCCACCCATTAGCTCACAGTACCTCCATTATGACTCTAACCTCCTTGTTTTTTAGGTTCAAATAATCTTAGAACCAGATGATAGTTATTATCTCCTCTAGAGATGAAAGTGGGTGTGCTTTCTTTTCACCGTGGCTGTAAGTAAGAAAGCAATGAGTCGGCTGCTGTGCAGCATTACCGGTCGGTCACGCTGCTTCCAGAACGGGAACGGTCGAATCAGATCACAGAGTTTGTGGTTGCTTTATCTAAGGGAGCTAATATTAAATAACTTACTTTAGCAGTTAACTGCTTGATGTTGTTTGCACATAAATCCTGGACTTTGTGCTTGTGAATTCAGTTGCCCCGTGTTACCTGCAGGGTTAGGATATCTTCAGCTGAGTATTAAAGAGGTCATAGAATGATTCTATATGGTATTTGGTCCTTAAGGTCTCTGAATAGGGTGTGTAACATTGGTTGGACTGAAAATGGCATATTTACTGTTCTATGAGCCCTAATGCAAGCCTGGTTAAAAGCCCTAGAATGAAACGACAAGTTTTCTTCCATTTATGGTATGCTCATGAATATATAGATGAGCTGTGCTCTGATTGGATGGTTTATAACGAGCAAAGCTGCTGAGCAAAGACACATTATAGCAACAAGCACTCACTCCCTGAAACATTAAAATTTTTGATATGGTAGGGTGACCAGACGTCCTCTTTTACTCAGACATGTTCTACTTTTCATACCTGTAAAAATATCCAGGAGGAATTTACAAATCGTCCAGGATTTTGGTCGACTACAGTGCAGCACGTAGTTGAAACACACCAGGCATTCAAACCGAGCCGTCAGCTCCTGGGCAGTGGGGGGGCGGAGCGACCAAACCTGACCCGGTGACAGTAGCCTGGACAAAGGCCGCCCCGTGCTTCCCCCGGCATGACTCTCTGCTGAGGTCCAGTCCAGTCAGCGGCCCCGTAGTCGACACTTATTAACCACTGGGCTGGTCTGTATGTCAATTTCAGGGCATGGCAAAAGTACAGGCCAGAACCAAATAAGGCAACATCCCAGAGTTTACGTCAACTCGCTTCGTTTGGATTCGCCCGTTTTATGGTGAAAGTTTAGAATTGTGAGATTTTTGCAGAGAAAGGAGGTGTCGATGGGGTTTGAACATCTCCGTACGTCCATTTCACCCACTAAACTATCGTCCTCCATCTATAACAATGTAAACTCTGTTTTGCATTCTATGACCCCTTTAAAGACGCAGCAGGTTATGGCTTTATAGAGTCCATGTGTCGTTTGATCTTCTGCTGTCTGCCTTTTTTCCAGGGAGAGTTTCCTGGTTCCTGCGTTTCCAGAAACCTGCCCGTTAGTCCAGTCCTTTCTGGTCGGCCCCGAAAGGTTCTTCCTCCTCTACGGACACGCCCAGCTGAAGACGGGCATGCAGACCCAGGACAGACACCTCTTCCTGTTCAGTGACATCCTGGTGGTAGCTAAAGCCAAGTAAAGCCCCAACAGCGTGCAGCCTTGCCTCTGTGTGTTCAGTTGCATCAATCAGTGTGCGTTTGCGTGACGACTCTGTTTCCAGGTCAGCCAACAACTTCAAGCAGAAAGCCCAGGTGTGTGTGTGCGAGATGTGGACGGCGAGCTGTATGGACGAGGTGTGTGAAGGAAGCACCGCCCCGGAGCGGAGCTTCGTCATGGGCTGGCCCACCTGGAACTGCGTCGCCGTGTTTAGGTAACACACATTTACACCGCAACAAACAATAATCCACACTTTTATTATGTAAACACAGACGACATGGATGATCACACACCCCGCAGATTAGCTCAGCTTTTTTTTTTTTTTTACGTTGTATTTGTAGGATCTATTCCACATGTTCTAAGCTGATCTACCTAAACAGCTCTAGATGTTTGTGTTTCAACAGATAAACACTCCAGTGATGCTAAAAGCTGAGCCTAAATGCTTGAGTAGGTAAATAACAGGGTCTAAAGACTGTGGTTGGTGTTTTTCCTTATTATAAATATAAATTGTCTTAACTCTTTGGAAAAGTGTCTCACTTACTTGCTCAATTCAAGAAAAAATGCTGTTATTTTAGGAAAAAAGTGTGAGATGGTGACGCCACCGCTGTCAGAATGGATTTAGTATCAGTTATTTATTATTTTTTAAGCATATTTATTTTTGCAAAACTGCTGTCAAATTGGGTTAATTAACATTTATTAAATTTTTACTTTTCTTTAGCAAAAGTGCTGTCAAATGCCCTGGTTTTTTATTACTTATTCAGGGCTCGATGTTAACCTTTGCCCGATCACCCAGGGCAAGTAGTTTTTATTGTCGGGAGAGTACAAAAAAAAATATTTATCACTCAAAATTACTTTAAAATCACCGACATTCGCTGAAAACGACCCACAAGCGTTGCCGGCGCCATTTTTGTTGTTTTGTACACATTCTCGCGTAATTTGAAAAAGCTGCGTGATTTTCCGCTAGATGGCGTGATTCACCTCTTGGGGAGAGAATTCTGCAGAGCAGCAGCTGGATGATGAATTTAATCTATACTATAATACACGCTAGATTAAAAATGATCAGTCAGGGATTAGGAAAATAATAATAATAATTATATGCGCACAGTGTAAATATTTCTATCATATGGCAGTCTTCTGTACAGTGGTACGACGGAGTATTAGGGCCACACATGAAGAGAAAAAATATTTTTGCCATGACGAGATTAAACTCGACATGTCGACTTTATTCTCGACATGTCGACTTTAAAGTCGACATGTCGAGAATAAAGTTGAAATGTCATGTTGAGTTTAAGCTCGCTCTGTCGACTTTAAACTCGCCATTTCGAGAATAAAGTTGAAATGTCATGTTGAGTTTAATCTCGACGTGTCGACAATAAAGTTTAAATTAGTTCAAGAGAGCCAACCGCTGCACAGGATACATGCACAGAATCCTATACAGTTGCAGCACGTCAAAGACTACCTTCACTCTTAAAACGCAGACTGCAGCTGTGGAGCGCGGTTGCTCTTTTCTCCAAACTTTGGAATGTCGAGATTAAAGTCGCCACGATATATCAACTTTATTCTCGAAATGGCGAGTTTAAAGTCGACACGTCGAGATTAAACTCAACATGACATTTCAACTTTATTCTCAAAATGTTGAGTTTAATGTCGACATGTCGACTTTAAAGTCGACATGTCGAGTTTAATCTCGTCATGGTAAAAATATTTTTTCTCTTCATGTGTGGCCCTAATACTCCGTCGTACAGTGGTCATACATTAAAAAATGTTCATAATATTTTTTTCTCTTAGACATTGGAGTGGTGCATTTAAATGTTATAGAGCTAAACATGTTAAATTGGTGAGTAGTAGTAGTGTAAGTTTTTAACCTGTCAAGTTTTTTTTTTTTTACATTACAATTTATATTTTTCCAAGCACACAACAGTTTAAAGCAAAGTTTATTTTTGAAAAGAATGTGCAGGAAGGATTGAAAAGCATGTTAACACGGTAATGTAGGCTTGAGTTCATTATTTGACGCATTCAGATACACACCAGGAACCTGGAAACTTACTGAATTACAAAAAAACATTTAAAAAACAAACATGTTTCATTGATATATATACAAAAATGAATATTAGGAACTATATTTATCAAACATTATACTGGGCAAGTAAAAATTGTTTCTGGGCAAATGAAATATGAAAGTCACTTGCCCAAAGGGTAAAAATCCTTAACGTCAACCCCTGATATTACTGTTGTCAGAATTGTTTATTATTATTTATTTTATTATTTCTTTGCTACACTGTTGTCATAATGGATATTTTTTTTTTTTCTATCCATCCATCCATTTACTGTCATGATTATCCCAAACGGTGTTGCGACACCTAAGGACAATTTAGAGAAGCCGTTTAACGTGACAGTCATATTTGTTTGACTGTGGGAGGAGAGAACCCATGCATGCTCAGGGAGAACATGCAAACTCGATGCAGAAAGATCCCGGGATTCGAACCTGGTACCTTCTTGCTGCAAGGCAACCCACTGCACATCTTTTTTTTCCTAATCTAATTTCTTTTTTTACAGCATTGCTTTCAGAATCGGCTAATTATTATTAATCTTATTTTATTATATGCATTTTATTCTAATATTGCATCAAAATGGGATATTTATTAGTTTATTATTAAGCTGCTGTCTCATAGGATTATTTTTTTCTTTATCTTCTTATTAGTTTCCATTATTTGTAGTAATTTAGCTCCCAAATTTGGCCTAAAGTTCATGTTAATTCAAAGCTTTTAATGATTAATGTAAATGTATTTTTTGTATTAAGAAAAACTTTAAATAATTACAGAAACAGTCCAAATTAAACATTCATGCTCAAATATATTCAAACATTCCACTTATGATATAATCCAGCCCTTTAATGAGATGGAGAGAAATAATTTCACTATTAGCTAAATGGAATAACTTATTTTAAAACTTTCTCGCTGACAGGTAGATGAACTTTTTTATTGTAATCTAAAAAGTTTCATTAGATTAGTACGGAAGAGGATTAGGGCCACTGAAAAAAAAAAAGTTAACTGATTTTCAAATTTTATTTCAGTTTAACATGGGGAAAAAAGTCAGAATTCTGACTTTAATCTCAGAAGTCTGACTGAATTCTGACAATAAAAAAAGTTAGAATTCAGAAAAAAAAGTCAGAATTCTGAGATTAAAGTCAGAATTGTGACTATACCATACTGAAATAAAATAAAAAAAATCTGTTAACTTTTTTTTTGTCTAATCCTCTTTCGTAGATTAGAGGTTGAAAAAAGTCAAATTAATTGATGCTAAAAGGAGATCTGATGTATTTAGAACTTCATTATGTCCAATCTTCAACCATTTAGCTGTTTGTTTGAATGGAAGGTGAACATTTACCAAATATTAGCGTGATTATTTGTTTATTTAAGCGTCTAGATATAATTTGCCGTTAAAATATTTTTAATAAAGTGAGATATGAGACCAAACATGAATTCTGGGTCATCTAATGAGCTTTTAGAGATGAGAGCAGGAAGCCAAACCTGCAGTTCTTTCTCAGATTTCCAGCGAAACTAAAGAACAAGAACTCTGGACGTTCATTTTCTGGTTTTAACTTTCTGAGAAGAGCTTCTGTTTGGTGTAAACTCGTCCGTCTGTTATGTTTAACCCTCTTCATGCTTTCTCGTAGCTCATCTGAGCAGAAGGAGAGATGGCTCTCCCTCCTAAAGAGGTAAAAAAACTCTCCTGTTAGTTTTTCATTGTGATAAGTACAACAAAAATCATGCAGTGAGTTTATTTACGTCTTCCCAGTCGGATAAAGGAGGAGAAAGAGAAGGAGGAGCCTAAAACAATCCCTCTGAGAGTTTACGGGAAGGGACTGAACACCTTTGCTATTGTAAGTTTCTGTTTGGTGTTGTCAGTAGCAGATTGTTTTATTAAGATTCCTCCGTCTCACCGTCTTTCTCACTTCTCTGATCAGACCAAAACTCTTCCTGTCAGCAACTGGGATTCAGCCAATGAGGTGATCCGCCTGGCCCTGCAGCAGTTTGGCATTATAGTGAGTGAGCCAGATAAGCTCTGCCGTCGGGCATCGATCTGATAGCTTAACCTAAAAATATCCGTTTGTCTGATCGCCTGTCTGTTGATTTTAGGGAAATGTCAAAGATTTCCAGCTGTGGGTCGTCTCCAAGAGAGACAACACACCTTATCCTCTTATTGGTGAGCCACAAACAGCTAATTTAGTGCTACGTTTGCAACCACAAACGTTGGAATACTCTGAAATTAATCAAATTTGAAAGGGAATTAAATGTAAATATACTTTACAGTGAGGAGCATCATTTGAGCTTTATTTGCTGGGATGTTAACTGCCACACTAGATCCATTCATTGGCAGTGAGGAGTGTGACCGAGCTGCCGGGGAGAGACGAGGAAAGTTTTCATATAAGGCGCTTTGCCATCTCCTTCTCAGGTCATGAGTTTCCCTTCAGCATCCAGATGAGTCATGTGAGAGACTCTGGGGTTCAGGGAGGAGGAAGCCGGGACGTCGCAGCGCCACCTGCGGACAGACAGGTGGCCATGAAGGTGGAGCAGCTGCAGGTGTACAAGCAGTGTCAGTTCATCCTAAAGCCTCGGCCTGCAGAACCACCGCAGCAGCAGTTACCGGCAGGTAAAGTCTCTTCTACTCCCCGTATTTTGTTACTTATTCAGATAAAAAAGAGGTTCCTCATGTTTTCCCACTGCAGATTTCTCCCAGAAGTCGTTCAAACGGCGGCGTTCGCTCATCACCTGGGCCTTCTGGAGAGGCTCCTCATCTCACCTGAACGAGCTGTCGCTGGCCGGAGCCACTCAAGGCTGCTTGTTCGGTCAGCCGCTCAGCTCCATCTGCGTGGAGGACGCTCTGCCCAAGCCCGTCATGGTCAGTGGCTCCTCTACACTGGAAAAACAATCTAGAAATAAGTAAAAATGTCTCAAATTAAGTGTATTTACCCTCAATTGGAGGAGGTAAATGAGATAGTTTGCCAATGGAATGAGTATTTTTACTCTTAAAATAAGATATTTAGATGAAATTCACTTGACATAAGACAATGCAATTATGTTTTCTTATTTTAAATGTAAATTGTTTTGTTCCATCGGCGAAATGTCTCTTTTACCTTCTCAAATCAAGAACAAAATAAGAAAAAAAGAACTTATCTAGATTTTTATTTTTTTCCCCCAGTGTATTTGTAAGGGATTTGCACAAACCAGCCAGAAAACCACTGAAATTTTCCCCAAAAAGTCTTAATTTATTCCCAAAATGTTCAAAAAATGATAAATAGGCCCAAAAACAGAGGTAAACAAAACAGAATTTAATTCAGGCTTTAACATAAAGAACTGTTGACACCACCACAAGAGGGATAACTGACTAACAAACTAATAAACAGATAGAAACTGGCCAGACACTAAATATTCTTTAAATGTAACTAATTAACAAAATTACCCAAACTAAGAATATTTAAATAAATAATAAATACATTTCCCTTCCCATTACAAATGGTTCGACCCACGGAAGAGGATTAGGGCCTCTGGAAAAAAAAAAAAAGTTAACTGATTTTTAAATTTTATTTCAGTTTAACATGGGGAAAAAAGTCAGAATTCTGACTTTAATCTCAGAATTCTGACTTTAATCTCAGAATTCTGACTTTAATCTCAGAATTTTGGATCTTAATGTAGATGGGCACCATAAAGTAAGAGATGTGGAGCACTCAGCTTCACTGACAAAGATGTGAGTTGTTTGAGGTGGCCAGATACACATTGGTGGAAAATTATGGAATTAGGCAACTTTTTACGTGCCCGAGGGTCCCCTCATTAATGGAGGAGCAGAAGGTCATTAAAACAAGAGAGCTAGTCTCTACAACAGACATGGCTATGGCTTGATGCTAACATGTTTGTTAGCTGTCAGAATTCTAAGAAAAAAGTCGGAATTCTGAGTTTAAAGTAATAATTCTGACTTTTTTCCCATATTAAACTGAAATAAAATTTTAGAATAAGTTAACTTTTTTTTTTTCCAGTGGCCCTAATCCTCTTCTGTATCAACCCGCTGATTAGCCTGCAAAATCAATTGAGGAAAGCTGAAGCTCATTGCAGCCCTCCATAGGCAGATCCCAAGAAAAAATAAATTAATCAATTGCATCTTGACAAAAAAAATAACCTGACAAATAAAGTTAACTAAATGTTTGCACTGCAAAAAGCTAACTTAAAGTCAGGCTAATGAAAATAAATGAAATGTGCAACTCATTTTGAAAATGTAAAATGTAAGTTACCACACAGCTTCAGAATGAGACAGCAGGCTGTCACAGTATTGAATATGTGTGAAAATTCTAGGAATAAAACTCCCCCCAACTCTTCAGTTACATAATCAAACACCAAGAAACGGCAAGAAATTCAAGCTTTTATGTGATTAATTGGATTCCTTATAATCAGTCCCGCAGCATCACACATCCTCAACCCTATTTAACAGTTGACAGGAGGGGAGGGGCTTTCTCACTTTCAGATTAGTAAACTCCACTTTTAGGTTTGTGATGTTGGACAGAGATAAGCTTAGATCCTCTTATAGGCTAATTTTGCGAAGATTAACAAATATCTCTTTTTTTTTTTTGCTTTGAAAAGAAAACACCAGAAAACAGACATTAGATGACTATTAAAGGGGAAGCATCTTTTTTAAAACTGAGGTATTAATAAAAAAAAAAATACATTCAGATGGGTGTTTTTTAGGCTTTTATACATGGAGATTGATTTACCGAGGATACTTTTGATCATACTTTCAAACATCTGAGTAAAACAGCTTGTTATTGGTATGAAATCAACCCGTTTCCCCATCAGGACATGCTGATGTTTCTGTACCACGAGGGTTCCTGGACCCGGGGGATCTTCCGGCGCTCAGCGGGAGCCCGGGCCGTTAGAGAGCTGAGGGAGTCTCTGGATGGCGGACAGCTTCAGCTTCCTCTCACACGGGAGCACATCTTCATCATCGCCGGAGTCTTCAAGGTACGGAACCGCTCCATCTTCCAAAAGCAGTTCCACCCCCGTCACATTTTCTTACCTTAGAATAATAAATCCACACCAAGTAATGCGTTGTTTGAACTTTTTATTCTTGTTGCATATACAATCTGAAAAGTGTGGCATGCATTGAGTCAGGGAGGCTAAGCTCCCAAGTTCAGCTGAGATCATGTGAAAAAGGTCTGCTGGTTTTCTACCAACTATAAGGCTGAGAGCTAAAGGTTTTGTTGAGCTTTTCTAAAAACTCATCTTGTTTTCTGCTCTTCAGCTTAGTGATCTAGGTCTTGGTCAGCGGCGCTTTATAGATTGTTTTATCTGCTTATATCAAGTTTATTAAAGTTCCAGTAAACAGAGTATATAATTCGATGACAGATGTTTGATATTTTTGACCCACATCTGTAAGCATTATTTCTGCTCAGCCTCTGCAGGGAAGTTCCAGCAGGACAAGCTGTTCACAGCAGAACAGCCCCGGTAGTCTTATTAACGTAATCTGGATTATCATCTCTTAGCATCTGGACAGATAACGAGAGAATAAACCGTCATGTCTCCATGCAGCAGCAGTAGACTCTTCCCATTCACCTGGATTACTACTCTACATTTTGATTAGGTCACTCTGTTATGCAGCTCCACAGTGACCCCTGGAGGCGTGTGCAGGGATCACACGTGTGCATTTATTTGATGGCTTACCTGATTTGCTGCAGGATTTCCTGCGGAGAATCCCTGGGAGTTTATTGGGCTGTGAGGTGTATGAGGAATGGATAGATGTGCTGGAGGAAGAGGAGGAGGAGGAAGAACAGGTCCAAGACATAAAGAGGTAACAGCTTCTCCGCTTTTTGGGAAGAATTCAAACACACAGCTTGAAGGTTGTCGGTACTCTCTGCAGGATGATTCGTCGCCTGGCTAAAGAGAACGCGCTTCTGCTCCGCTACCTGTTAGCCATGCTGCATGCGGTCCAGGCCAACGCTCAGGAGAACCAGATGACCAGTTTCAATCTGTCAGTGTGCATCGCTCCCAGCTTGCTGTGGCCTCCTGGCGCCCCCTGCAGTCCCGAGGCGGAGGGAGAAGGAGCCAAAAAGGTTAAAATAATGCTTTACGTTTCTTTTGAGCTGCAGAAAAAAATATCTTAAGAGTTTGAGTTGGGATCTGCTGCTGTTATAGCTATGTCATCACAGCATTATGCTGCCACTACCATGCTTTGTGTTGGGGAGGTGAAGTATTAATTGTTGCATTGATTGTGCTCCAGGTGTAATCAGACCTGCTTCCATTTTATGATTTAATTCCTTCTGGAAAGCCTCCATACTTGTCCTAACTGCCAAAGCAGAATAAAACTGGGACTTTTTCTTTTCTTGCATTTGTTACACATCCCTCCTTCTCTCCATCAACTAATTTTAAACCACTTCATATCAAAAAGTGTTCTTGGAGCCTAGCTGGAGAACTAATGATTTTTTTTTTAAAGAAGTATGGATTAATAGCCTAATGCCACGATGTGGAATGTGACCCAGATTTTACACGTGGCTCCTCCTGGTTTGACTCCCGACATTTCAGATTGTTTTAAATAAATCGGATTCAGCAGTGTTACTGGAGCTGAATGAACACAATGCTGCTATTCTGTCTGAGGAGCTGGAATCTGCTGATCTCTGTTTTGTGAAACCTGCAGGTTAAAAACGAAACTTTTAATCATGTTAGCAAACACATCAACTCACTGGAAAACCTAAAAGCCACATCAAGCTTTGTTTTAGTAGATTATCCGGGTTTTTAAAGAGCTACATTTCAAAATCTGGAGTTTCAGTTAAGTCAACATCAAATAGCTGTTAAAAAAATAAAATAAAACAACAGCAACACTTTCCTTTGAATGCTTTTATTGGTTGGTTTCCTTCTTCCAGGCTGAACGTGTCTTTGGTTCCTTTGTGTTGTGCAGGTTTGTGAGCTGGTGAAGTTCATGATCGATCACTGTGTGCAGATCCTGGGGGAGGAGCCCTCCTCTCTGTTTGGGGGGCCTCCGCAGAGACGCAACAGTGAGGAGAGCGGATCAGGTAAACAGTGACGCTTTTCATTTAGCTTTTTTGATGAGAAAGTTGAATATTGCTCAGAGTTGGAAGGAAACGATGGCAAACTTTCTCTAATCCACACATTTTAAACACCTGTTATGCTAGATGAATGACACTTCTGCCTGTGGTGCTTCTATATTATATTTATTTTTTTGTTCCTGTTAGAACAATCATTTGGGTTTAGGTTTAAAAATCTAAATCTCATTATTATTATATACTGTATGAAGGGCTGGTAGATGGTTCCTCTGGTAGCAGAAGTACCTACAGCACTGATGCTGCCACCACCGTGCTTTTCTGATGTTGGAAGTGAACAGAACTACTTCTGGAAGTTCTGATCTTAGTCTAATTAAAGATTTATAGACATTAAGCTACAGAAATGCTGAAGGAAAGTGTCCAATTAAACCCATTCTGCATCACTTCCAGTAAATGTAAAAGTTTCCATTTATTGTTTTTTTTAAGCTGCAGACAGTTAGAAGATGGTCCATTAAGCTGTTCTGTTTTCTTGTTAGAGTCCTGGGTTTACCCTCTGACCGATTCGTCCTACGACAGTTTGGAGAATGAGCTGGACGACAGCAGCGGGGGCTCACCGGGTTTCTGCAGCAGAAGACCCCTTCGATCCAAACCCCTGCAGAGCAGCCTGGACTCCATCCTAACGTTCAGCGACTACGACCAAGACACCGACCCAGAGGTGCCGCTTAGCAAGGCTGAGGGCCTGCTGGGTGTCCGGCTGCGCTCGGCAGAGAGGCGCAGGAGGCAGGAGGCCCCAGCTGTGGAGATCCCCCCCTCCCTGGACTCTCTGTCCCTGGAAGCTCGGCATTCGCAGAGGCGGAGCTCAGAGCCTGCTATAGCGTACGCGGGAAAGTTCTGTCCGTACATGTCGGGCAGTACGGACGGGCTCAGCTGTGAGGAGGAGGACGAACAATCAGAAAGGCGGAGCAGCAACATGTCCAGATGTCAGAAAGCGAACAGCGGAGGCGCTCTGGGGGCCAGCTCATCCAGTTTGTCCTCTCTAGGGTCTCCAGCTCCAGTTCGCTCCTCCCTGGACTCTCTGGACTCTCTGGACTCCCTCAGCGCAAACCAGACCAAACCAACGCCTCCACCGTCCGGCTCTGCTCCGACCCCGAGCGTTCACGCTAAAGACCAAACACCCAAAGAAGCTCACCACCGGGGGGCGCTGATAGGCTGCATGGGCCTGCACCCAAACTCATGGCTGAAAAAGGATCGAAGGCTGTCCCTAACTCACCAAGAGAGCTTGGAGAAAGACGACGAGGACAGGATGGGGGTGAGTAGGAAGCTAACTCCTCTTCATTTATAAAAAGTTTAATCTGAATTACTGATAACAAATCTATGAGGTATAAATAAGGCGTCACACAGAGGGAGAACATGGCTGAGAACATGCCATTCACTTTAGCCTGATGTTTACAGATGTTAATAATTAATGAAGCTGCTTTAAGTCGTCTAAAATGATCTAGAGATTTAAAAAAGAAAAATGGTGGAAAGCTGGATTCAGTAAAGGACGGCTCTGAAGCTTCTGAGGGGAAGCTTGTGGTTTTTGCGATGCGAAAGGCGCCTTACCGCAAAGCAAAGTAGTTCAAACATTTTTGTATATTAAAGGCACACTATGCAACATTTTTCAGTTAATTAATGTGTTCCATAACGTTATGGATGATTAAATGAGTCATTTCAGGTTGAACAAAGGTATTCTCGGCCGCCCTGGTGATCTGTGGGGGAAATACCGCACTTGCAATTGCAGGAGCACCGACCCGCACCCACAGGCTCAGAAGTCTCGCGAGAGTCAGTCTTGCTTTACGGCGAGAACTGCTACACGCCCCCAGTTAAAAGCATTCTCGTTGCTAGCACAGTGGCGATCTTTGTGCAGTTATGCTACGTTCACGCAGCAAAATCGCGTCTGCTGCTTCATTTTTGCTGCTTGTACCAGTTAGTTCTGACGCGTGGCTGAGGCAGCTTTGCTCCTCTGGCTGCGCGGTGCAAAAGTGTGTCTGAGGCGCGTTGGGCGGAGCTTCACTATCCTTTCTCTGCCTTGCAGCTATATTTGCTGTGATCAGTGGGAATAAAGTAGTTTTAATGTGTTTAAGTGAGAAAATACACCTGAAAACGTAATCAGTGCCGTCAGTTCATTCAGATTATTATCCTGCCTTCAATATTGTTTCTGTCGGAGCCGCTCAGACCCCCACATACCAGCGGTGCGCCGACAGTAGGAATCCCTTCATCAGCAGCCTCTGGCCAGGTCGCCTCCTCGCGGTTCACCGCGGCAGCTGGTAGGTGTTTTTCATCTAAATAATCCAAACTGCATATTCTGCTGGCAGATTTCTGCATTTTAAGTTAATTTAGGCGTCAATAAACTGTTTAAGAGGAGAGATCATAGCCTCTGATCATCAGCGCTGTGTCTCTCTCCCTGCGTCAGATGATTAAACTGCTTCAGCTGCTCAGACGTGCTGCGCCTGCTGCTCGAAACGCGCCGCGGGACCTTTTGCTGCGCCTTGACGCGCGTCCACCATTGACTTTGCATGTAAACTCGCTGCTTCTGTCGCGCCAGCTGCGGTGTGGACGCAGCATTAGTCATTCGTTGCGTTCGCCTGTCTGCTAAGCTCAAAACAACCGCGCCTGGCTTGACGGAGAAACCAGGAGAACAGCTGTGCATATTTACGACAGTGCACTTTTACTTTCGCCCTCTGGGGGGAGCCTCGCTGGAAAATCAACACCGGTTGCATAGTGTACCTTTAATGTTGAAAAACCCAATCAGGGATTAAACATGAGTTTGAAGTGAATCGAAACAAGCTGTTTAAAAAAATCAAATTGTAAGTTAGAGAAAAGAAACTAAACTAGGGCTGCAGCTAGGGTTGGGAATTGAAAAGATTTTCACGATTCCGATTCCCTTTTCGATTCTATTAAACGATTCGATTCTTTATCGATTCTTTTTTCGATTCCAATTTGGGGGAAAAAGGAGAACAAACAGTTTGATTATCAGAATCAACTTTGTTTACTTAACTATTGCACAATCTTACAAACTCAACAAGATCAAGATGTCCACAGGAAATGTGAAACTGGAGTAACATCTGTGTTTAAATGAAAAATGAATACAAGAACAAACTTAATAACCAACAATGTCTAATAACAAATGATGGGATAATAACCTATTTTAAATAACAAAAAATACTAATTATAAAAAATTAGTAGGGAAAATTAACAGTTCTTTTGCAGAAAGATGAGCATATCTGCTTTTTCTGGAAGGATACGGGATCTTTCAGGGCTTATGGTGTCTCCAGCCGTGGAGAACACCCTCTCAGATGGGGTGCAGGAAGCCTGCACACAGAGGTAGTTTTCAGCCAGTCCAGATAGCAAGGGCAGCGTATCTTGCTTGTTCCACCACCACAGTGTGGCGCTATCCCTGCAGGGGATGGAGGGCAAGCTTTTATAGAGCTGGATTTCCTGATCTACCCTCTGGGCTAAGGAAAGACGGGGCTTTGATTCAAAAAGTGACCGCAGCTCGCTGTCTTCCTCCTCGAATAGTTATTTCCAAATTGCGTAACTTGCGTAACTTACGTAACGTACGTAAAAAACGTGACGTAAGTCATGCTCCCCAGAGCCGGCGCTCTAGGCTCTGGTGCTGCGGGAATCGAAAAAAGAATCGTTCAGCGAGCTGCCAAACGATGCCATGGAATCGGAAAATACGGAACCGGTTCTGAACAGGAACCGGTTTTCGATTCCCATCCCTAGCTGCAGCTAACGTTTATATTTGCAAACTGATTAATCTGTCGATTATTTTTTCGTTTTAATAATCGGATAGGCAAAGGTTTCATTAAAGAAAATATTTTAAGAAATCCAACCAAGTGAAACTAAAACTTTTCCACTTGAGTTCTAGATAGAGAATGTTGACAGACTGAAATCTTTAACAATCTTGGTATAATTCCTGCTCTGTCAGCTAAAGGAATGCTATAATGTCTCTATATTCAGTTAACAATTAATTGATCACTAAATTAGTGGACGATTATTTAAACAATCGATTAATCTGATTGTTTCAAACTAAACTAATTGTTTTTTAAACCGCCTACAAATCGCTTTAGTGCATGCAGTACTTTATTTTCTCCATCTTTCATTTTGATTAAAAAAAGCTCGTCTCTGCCGTGTTTCTTCACCCTACGCCACATCTAGTCCGGGATTGGGTTTGGCAATGCAAATGTGCAAAAATTAGATTTTTCCATCTGTGTGAATTTCTCTTTATGTACTTCAGAGAAGCAGCTAGGCTCTCTCTTCGCTGTATTCACTCGGCTAGAATCGTGACCTTCTCCCTGTCTGGGGAAAACATGTAAATCGTTAGCTCGGGGCGTGAAAATCAGCCTTGGTATCAACACGTCTTAAAGGTGCAGTAGGAGATGTTTTCTGACGCATTTTTTAACATGTGGATTTAAGATATCCCGCTTAGCAAGCAGTGAAATAGAAGGTCTGGAAGTGAAACTAAAATAAATGGCTACAGTGAGAAATCTGTGAATAACCCCCAACCAAAGACGGCCCTTGTCCCTCCGCCCTGTGCGTGTACTCTGACACATGAATGAATCGACCCCTCAATGCTCTAGCAGGACGCCATTGCTGGAAGCTAGCCACTGTTATGCTACGTTCACACCTAAATCAGCAGGAGCAGCAAAATTGCGCGTGCTGCTTCATTTTTAAAGCTTGTACAAGTTTAGTTCTGATGCGCGACTGAAGCATCTTTGCTGCTCTGGCTGTGCAGTGGAAAAAGTGGGTCTGATGCGCACTGGGCGGAGCTACCCTATCCTTTCTTTGCCTGGAACAATGGCAGCTATATTTGCTGTGATCAGTGGGTAAAAGTAGTTTGAATCTAGTTTGAAGTGAGAAAGTCCACCTGAAAACATCGTCTGTGCAGTCAAGTTATCCAGATTACCATCCTGCCTTCAAATATTATTTCTGTCGGAGCTGCTCAGACCCCCGTACACCGGCAATGCACTGTCACTGGGAATCCCATTCAACAGAAGCCTATGGCGCGGCCGCCTCCTAGCGGTTCGCGGCGGCGGCAGGAAGGCCTTTTTAATATACGTAATCCAATCTGCAGGCACCAGGATAAAAGCACACGTTTTAATAAACTGTTCAGAGGAATAATCATAGCGTTCTGCATCATCAGCGCTGCAGACAGCATTTGTGTTCATGTGTTTTGAAGACGTGGTTTCGAGGGGTGAGAAGGGAGAGGCATGATTGTGTATGTTCAAAAATAGCTGGAACCATTTTTCCAAGAATCTCCTACGGCACCTTTAAGCTTGAGCTTTTAGCAACAAAAGCTTCAGTTTGAGGAGAAAACTAGGAGGGTCAGGATCAAACATCCAGTGGTCTATGATTTAGAAGCGTGGTTCATTCTTTGCCCGGCCGTCAGAGGGCAACACGGGCCGTTTCTCAATTCACAAGAACGTGAGCACGGACTCGTGTCGTCCCCAAATGTATTCTTGAAAAGAACACAGGAAAGCGTGGCTCTGAGAGAACGGGACACGCAGAATTGGAAGAGCACAAGGGCTGAGGTTGATGACGTTTCACGAGCACATAAGAACGCACAAGTACAAATATCGAAACCACAGACCTTCCCTTCTAGCAGTAAATTCAGAGTAGCTTGTTCTCCTCCATTTGAAGAATGTTGATTGTCTGTGTATTTATACCCAGAGAGACTACTTGAAGGGTTTTTACCAAACTCTACAGACTAGCGTTAGCGAGTACATTTCCTCACAGGGTGGAACAGCTGAGAAAGGAGCAACGAAGCTGATCTCCAACAATCAGCCTAAAACCAAAACATCCCGCAGAGGCTCAAAGGACGCAGGAGACAAAGGGAACAGCCGACCCTCCAGACCAGAAGCCTCCAGCCCCTCCCTGCTCCGGCGAGCTGCTGGGAGCCTTCGCTTCAACAAACCCACCAGGGTCCAGTCTCCAGATTCTGCCCTGACGGTTCAGATCAGCGACCTCGGAGGTGATGTCGTCACTAAGCGGTGCGAAGCGCCCGAAACAAAGCAGCCGCTGTTCTACAAACACAGCGGGCCGTCGCTGTCCCTGTTCAGACGACAGAGGACTCCCACCGTGGAGGACTGTAACAGCCGGCTGTACCGGCGCCGCGGCTCCGAACCGGAGCGGCTGGTCGCGGACCGGGCCTCCGCCTTCACCAGGGTCCGGCTGCCCAGCGACCCGGGACTGAAGCCGCCAGAGGCAGATCGGCAGGCCCGTCTCTTGCCTCTCCCCCTGCACCACCAAAGCAGTGAGCGACTACTTCTCCTCCCACCCTCACAGCGATCCTCAGAGCAGCCAGGAGGTGGCGCTAGCCCTGGTGGAGGGTCAAAGAGAGCGGTTAAAGCGATGCTGTGATCCTACAGCCGAGCCTGATCTGGAGCAGCTTCTGTTTGCTGAAGAGTCGTACGTCTGACAGTAGGAAACACTCCAAACACTCATCGCTCTATGCCCTTTAAGTTCAGTTATAGAAACCAAGAAGAATTTCTAAGATCGTTTTAATCTGCTTCTATAGAAAACTTCTCCTCTTGCAGGTTGCTTAGTGCCTTTAAGGAAAAGTTCATTTTCAGCTCCTATCAGAACCTCCCACAATAACATTGTAATAACAGATGGTTTTATATGCAGCTGCCAACTTTACCTGCTGTTGCCTTTTTTCTTTTATTTAAATCAGAAACTCCACCTGTTGTCATTGGACTGTATGGTGGCTGTAAAGTTTAAGCAGATCAGTACAGATCTACTAACTCCTGCAATGTTTACTTAAGACTTAGATTTTATTTGTCATTTTGTTTACACAAGTGTAAAACAAAAAGAAATTTCGTTTGGAACAGCTCTCTGGACAATTTCATCTTTTTTTAAAAGTGCAAAATAGTAAAAATGACTGTAAATAAATTGCTATAATAGTATAAATGCAATCTAATATAGCTCCACTTTAAACTTTGCATTTATTTTACCTAAGTGAAGTTGCCCCCCCTCACCTTCTTCAAATGGATGTCAATTAACTCGACTCTGTGCTCGCTTGTGCAGCAAAAATCGATGTTTTTGTTGCTTTTGCCTTGAAGATATTAATGAAAGGTTAAAGGTCAACCAGTCCCCCCATTATTATGAAATCAGACAAAATTGGTGTCAATCACCTCGGCTATGTTTGTGTAGCAAAAATTTTAATTTGTGTTCCTATCATTGTAAAGATATAAAGAAAAATTTTCTCCAGGGGTCATCAGAGGTCAACCACCATCTTTAAAAGGATTTCTGCACAAATCAACTTTGTCTGATTTGAAGAAGGGGGGACAACTTCGCTCAGGTGTTTATTTTCACCTGAGGCTGTGTTGCTTTGTATTTTAGCTATAAACGAACTTCCTTACACTGTAAAACAAATAGAATATAGTTCAATTTAGCTTCTAAAGAGATTTTAAAGTGACTGATTCAGAGGCGATTCATTAGAAAGGTGATTTTTTTTTTATTATTTCTTTTTATACACCAGTGTGTTCCAGTCTTGTACAGACAAGACAAAATAGATCTGTTTAGGAATTAATTATTAAGGCGATACATTTTTTTTTTTTTACAGTGTTTTAAAATTAATTCACACGTGCATGTTAACTTTTACCAAGTTTGCTATGATTGTTAAAATTAGGAGACCAGATTATAAGGTTTAACTCGGTTTGTACATAAGTACATTGTATTTGATACTAGATAGACAAATTGCTGGTTACAGTTTGCATTTCACTCTAGAAAATGTTTTATAAAAAAAAAAATGAAACAAAAAACTGGACGACAGATCTGTGGTAGCCCACAGCACCACCACTTTCCTCCCACCATCGTGCATTCTTCAGTCGACGTTGCAGCGTCCCAGTTTAAGCCGAGCCGTCTTTGCTTTGCCGGATGTCTGCCACGCTCTCTGGGACTCGGGCCACCATGCCGTCCAGGGATTTGGTCAGGCAGATCTGGCAACCCAGACGAGATCTGCGGCGGATTAATAAGATCCAACACACATGCTTAGTTTGGTTAACTTTTTACTTACTTATATTCAACTTAATCTGTTAAAGTGGTTTATTTATAGGATCTACAAACAACAAGTTAAACATTTTTTTGTAGGATGGTTTGGGCCGTTTTAAACTTACTTTTGTACCTATTAAATATGGACTGGAGTTTCCTATAATAAATATCTATTTAATGAAGCACAGCCTTGGAACTTTCATTTTCCTTACAAAATACACCCAAAATGATTTTTTTCTTTAAATAGTTAAAAGAAAAAACTTTTTAAACTTCAAAGAAACCTTGTTTTAGGGTTTATATTATATATATATATATAAAGCTAAAAACTACAATGTATTACAATGTAATGGTATTTAATCTAAATATTGTTTTTGCCTACAAAAAAACATATTGTTTAAATTTGGTGTGTATCCAATATTGACACTAGTGATGTAAACAAATAATCCACTTATGATTAAAAGTCGATAAATGGTTAAATTGCAAGAGTGGAGGCTATGGAAAGCTGTTTCATTTAAAATTAAATAAATTCTGCTATTGATAAATATTTTAAATCATGAGTTATTTACCTTATAATGGAGTTGACACTTATTTTGTAAAGCTTCCGTACGTATTTCAGTGACTTTTTGATCTTTTTTTGTCTTATTTAAATGAGGGTGCGGGGTTTTATCTGCTGGTCTGACGTCAGTGATTCAAAGTAAAACGGGAATTAAGTTTCCAAATAAAAAACAGAGGAAGAAAAGAATTGATGCCATTTTTAAAAAATCTTTCTAAATTTATTCAACTGATTAACAACGTATGAAAACAGAAGCATCCCAGACTTAATGAGACAAGGTGCCTGTCTTGATAGAATTTTAGTGATGAAAACGAGAAAAAAAATGGAAAAAGGTTAAAAAATAAAATTCACTAAAATATGTAGTAGCTTTTCAAAATAAGTGTCAAAAAATAAAACTCCATTATGAAGTAAATTTATATTAAAAATGAGATCAGAAAAATAAAAATATATTGTAAAACATGGATGAACGGTCTTCGCCATCTACACGGCCGAAAAAACAGCCTTAATTGATATCAAGGTCTGACGGGGTCTCCGGGATGTTTTTTCCTTGTTCATATAGTCAAAAAAAACGCATGCCTAATTTTGTGGCTTAAAAACCTTTGACTATTTGTGCCCCCGTGTATAGGAACTATTTTTCCTCCATTCTGTTTCTCATATTGGTGACGGGAAGGACACTGTAGTATCTGAGCTACAGACGGTGAACCTTTCACTTCATTTCCAAAAACCTGAAGTAAAAACGAGCCAACCTCATTCAGTAACAAGTCGCTGTCACATAATTTGCTGAAAAATGTCTCACAGATTTCTGTTTTGTCAAACTTCCATGCTGCATATCAGCAAACATCCTTCTAAATGAAGCTCAACTGTCCAAAATGGGGGTAAATTCATGTTATAAAAAAATCTAACTGTTGGTTTCAGGATGGTTTGAGTAACGCTAAGCTGCTGTGACGAATGAATGACTTCCTTACGTCTCAGTCAAGCCATAAGCCAGGTCCAACATGTCCATCTCCTCGTCTGTGACTGGCCCCAGCTTCTTGTAGACATCCTCGTCGAAGATCAGATGACACGTGGAGCACGCCAGGGTTCCCTCACATGCTCCTGCAACACACACAAGCTCATTTAGGCCTCCAAAGTCTCAAACTGAGAGTCCTGCTCAGGCGGGTTTTCTTACCAAAGCCATCAAAGTCCAGGTCTTCGTTGATGACGACGTCTAGCAGAGAGTCTCCAGGCAACGCCTTCACTGTGATCTTCTCGCCGTCTCGGTTGATGAAGTTGACGGTCACTTTGTTGTCTGACCTGAGGCAATAACTGAATTAGAATCACATTTTAAAGCTTTGCTATCTACTCTATTGAGCCACACTTGGTGTTTCAGTCTTATTGAACTTCAGTGGGAGGATGAAATAATCTATTTGGCATCTATTCCTTTTTAAATATATGAATTTTCTGCAATACATCACTCCAAGAGTCACCTTGCCATTTAAGGCAATGAGAGGGAAGCTGGTTACACCCATTAAAATAAGGAGCAGCGCTGATGGTATCAATACAGAAAAGGCAAATGTGATTTCCTCTTTGTGTCATTTCCTCTTGCTGCCGCTCATGTTAAAGGATTCATATACTAATTCTTACAGCTTTATATTTGCTCATATTTCTGTTGTAAAATAACCAAAAAATGCAATTCCTTCTACCACCAGCAGGGGGCTGTAATCATACAAAGGTTTTCCTTGATCTCTGAGGGCCGGTTTGAGGTCAATAAGGAGAACGGGGCTGAAATCCATCAAATCAATGCAAGCCGAATCACAGTCCGACTAGAAAGAAGTCCCAATTAGTATAACTGCATTAAAATAAGTCATCAGGATCACCTTAAAGTCTCAGAGAGCCATGAGTGGATTGCCCTGTGAGTGACCAGAGCCTCAAAGTCCCGGTAACTTACATGTCTTTCCAATAGCAAAACAAAAACGTTTAAGATCATTAATCAAAGCAGAAACCACCATGTTTAACATCAAAATGAATGTACTGGGTCTGGAGTCTAAAGGCTAAACTGGGCAAACTCCAGCTTAAACTCTAGAAGGTTGGACTAATAGTTATGTTTTATAACGTCCCAGATCCTGGCTGGACAGAAATACAGCTGAGTTCTGTTAGCGGAGCCAAAAGAAGAGGGGTTCCTCTGCAGCCAGATAAGGAACGTTTCCGAAACAGCAGGACTAAACAAAACAAATCACCGCAGTTATATTCTAGATGCATTAGTCCCACAAATCCACCAAATGCAAACCTCTACATTCGATTTGTTCTTTAAAATGAATGATTATCTGGATGTTAGAATGATGATCACGACTGAAGCTAAATATTTTAAAGGTAATTTTTATCCTTGAGGTGTTTATGATAAAACCCTGGAGACGATTTACTCCTCCATCCTGTTACCCGAGCAGAACACCTTATCCCTGCTGAGTGATCCCATTTGTTAATGACTGATGTCCTCAGAGGACCAGCTGTCTCTTTTCATGCAAACATTACACTCACTGACTTGTGGAAAGCCTCAGAACCAGGGAGAACCATAAATAATCCACTATAAAAAAATGGAGGTATTAACCTGCTTTTCCTGCACTGCGTGACCTTATAAACCAAACACGTGTTCAACTTTGGACAGCCACATGGGTTCCTCGTCATGTTATTCACAACTCGCTCGCATTTGGATCTGACGTGGGTGTCAGAAGGTGAAACCTTCAATCTTCAATCTTACACAGACTAAATGTTAGTCATGGAGTAGTTGAGATTAAAAACATTTACACATCTAAGCGTATTTTTAAAGATTTGATTATCCTTAAAGTACTTCATGTAGATTGGAATAGATAATTAACTGCTTAGTTAGTTAGTCAGAATGATGGGATTAAGAGATTTAAAAAAAGATTGATAGGATTATAAAATAAAAAAGGAATGATGGGATTATGAGATAAAAAAAAAAGAATGATGGTAGAATCATGCTGTGGGAGTGCTTTTCAAAATCAACTCCGAAAACATTTTTTTCGGACATGTTGAAAGGTCAAAATCTGGGTTTTAACGGGGCTTAAAGCAGCTTCTAAGAATTCAAACCAGGTGTGAACAATGGCAACTTTAAAAGGGAGGTGATTCTAGCCAACTTCACCGCTGCACTTTAAGACGGGTGGTTGGAGATTGGACTCCTTGAAGACATAAAGAAGATAAATCTGCTACGGGAACAAATCAAAGCCTGGAGGGTCAAGTGGTGTCAACCAGACTGGTGATTCTTCATGACCGTAAGTTGCCAGCCACGCAGCCTGGATCAGAGGACGGAACAGAAACACCAATAACAGTAGTAGTTAACAAAACTTGAAAAATGCAAAATTAACATATAATAGATGGCTATAGTGGCCTTGTAACATTTGCTTTATATGTAGGTAATGTTCTTCTAGTGTAAATGTTACTTTTTTAAGTTTAGTAAGAAAACTTCTCAAGAAAACTTTATTTTTACTGTCTTTAAAAGTTTTATTCAGACCTTGTTTCCTGATGTATAACCCCTTCCGATTATTGTTGTGGAAACAGGGAGGGGACACGGCCCCCTCCCCGACCCACCGCAGTGGGTAATTCCAGGCTACGTCAACCACAGATGGAATTGAACTCAGACTCTGCACCACTGGCGCCTTACAGTCGCAGAAAATCCCACTCTGCTGTGACACCTGTCACACTTTGGATGTTTCTCCGGGCGCATTTATCTTTTTGTTTCAACTTCTACATTTGTTGGAAAAATAGTTTCCTCTGTGGGATTCGAACCAACAAGCTCCCAGCTTGAAAGCAGACGCTTTAACAATCACACCACAGGCCCTGTCTCTCTTTGCTCCTCTTCTCGTCACGCATTTATCTTTATGATTTCAATATTCACTTTGAATAACCAATAAAAACTTGAAGTTGCATGTATTTTTTTTAGAGTGTTCTTTTCAATGAGACAAAGCAGGAATTGAACTCAGGATCCACCCAACTCTAAACCAGCATCTCTTCTCACTGAGCTACCAATGCAGATCTAACATCTTTCTCTTTTTTGTTTTCGTAGCCATTAATAAAATGTAACCCATCTATATGCTTAGACAACTAACAAATACAAAAAACAAACATCAGATGACTCTAGAAGGCGCTGTCACTACCCGAATGTTCCAGAAACGTGATCCGTTCTGCACATTCGCAAACTGATATACATCCGGGGGTCCATAAATAATGTAATTATGGTACTAAAATTACTTATTTTTCACCAAAGAATGCTAATATACATCTTTAAAAAATGTTTTATGACTTCTTTGAGACCATTGTTATGCTTTTTACATTTTCTCTGTTAAACTGCTTCTCTGACTCATCATGGGACATGCTCAGAGCAGTCCGGCAAAATATGATTAAACCATTTTTATCTGCGTTTCAGTTGTTTCCTTCTTTAGATTACGCACTATATAGCATAAGAATAAAATGAAACGAAAACGCAAAACTCAAAAAGACTAGATTTATGTTGAAATCCAAAGCCGAAAAAGTTGGCGACCGGAAGCAGGGTAGGATTCACGGTGCAGATTGGGCAGAGACAAGTGATAAAACAGAAGGGATTTTAAGACATTTATTTTCTCAGAAATACATTATTAA